TTAAATTAAATTACAGATAACATTTAAACAAAATACTACTTAGAAATTAATATTGATCAGTCGTCTATCATAAAATAGTTAGAATAACCTGGATAACAAAATCGATTTTATTTTTATTTTCTAATCATCATTTCATTCGCCATTTCACATAACAATGTGTTGTTTAACAAAAATCGATATCAACAGAAAATTCAAGTGTGGGAATTAATGTAGAAATAAAGTTAACTATATCAGTTCATAAAAGCGTTCTAAAGAATTCTGATAGAACTAGCAATTACATGTTAATAAAGCTTACAAATAAACAGATCACCTTATTTTAAAAACCGAAATCAAAGTTTCTTCATGACGTACAGTTCAAAGGATAGCTAATGCTTTGAACTGTAAGGCATCATACCAATAACTACTAGAAGTTTTTCTTAACCTCTGGAACTTTTGCTCGTTTCATTATTTGGAGATAATGGCATGATGTCCTGCAATAATATTTGCTACTGTTCAAAGTTAATAGTAATAAACTTCCACTGTATTACAGGACAGTAGATTTTCAAACGTGTTTTACAAATACACTATCGTTTATAATGAACATCCACCAGTTTATAACGAATTTGAAATTGTCCATACTTGTTCAGTTAGTCATAATATTCATTATATTTGATCAGAACGGATAAGAGTACCTGACTCCTTAACTTTCAGAATCAGTTGCATTCCAAAATATATTAAATATAGCGATCAAATATTTTCAATAATTTCATGTATCACTGATAATACATACATACAGATCATTATCCTACACGCCATACTAACACTTCAACTTTGTACACATTGGTTTAGAAATAAAATTACTCTGCATCAAATGTAACTTGATTCATTTGACGAAATATAATCGGTTTCCTGTTCCATACAGTTGAATGATAATAAATTCTGGTATATGCAAAGTTATACTAACACTTCTTGTATAGTATTTTAAACCAATTTTTAACTAAATTGGCAGCTTATGTAAGACGCGAACAGAAATAATAATACTATAAAATAAATAGTTTTAAAAGCAGAAATTTATTTCAAGTTAACACTAGAAATATTTAACCATATAATTGTAATCAAAATGATAAATAAGTAAATGATTCATATAATGCATAGTTTAAAAACTTATCCCAGCTTAAAGAGTAGTATATTTAGACCATTCAGACGAAAGCTCACAAATCCTCCTCTGTCATGATGTATGAAGCTGAAGAAATAAATAAATAAATAATTATGAAGTTATGCTTATTTGTAAAGTATCTCAATGAAAGCATAGAAAACAGAATACAAAATATAAAGTATCATAAAAATCTGCTAAATATATATTCAATGAATAGTTAAAATAAATATTTTCTAAAATTATGTCAAGTTATGTAGTTTTGGTAATAAATACTCACCTTCCAAAATTTTTTCCGACAATACAATTCCAAGTTGGCTTGTATTTACGATCGAATTCATGCTTAATATAACTTGCTATGTGCATGTCAATATTATGCTTTTCCATTGCATTTGCAGCCACATAAACAGCATCATCTTCCATTTCAGGAATCATATCTGATTTGTCTATTACTGCATGCGATTTATCTATGGCCATTCTGTTTACTATTCAATGCAGTAAATATTAGTTATGAAATTTCATTCATAGAATTTATATCTGAAATTAGTGTTATTTGTTTCATTATTTAATTGGTTAGAATATTTATGAGATACTGCTTTTGTTTTTCTAAATGTCGTTATCTATGAAATACGCTTTGATGAATCGCATATTTCATCAAATTAAATTAAGCTCATGTAAATACTGATTGATATGAACTTTCTTTAAAGTAGGTTTGTATTGATATAATGTTTGCTTGCCTATAAGACTTATCAAGTAATTAAGTGTTTTAGTTATTTTCTAAATTTCATTTACAATATCATCTTAATGTGAACTTTGGTTGATTGGTTCTGAACTTAAGCTTTAAACTGATTTTTCACCTAAAATATCCTTTTCTCATAGAAGCTCCGATTACAAGCAAAAACGTATTGAGTTTTAAAAGCCGAAGACGCAATTCTAACTTTAAGGAAAGTTTAAGATCGAAATTATACGTACTTCCCCATGTAGACCTGTCTTATGTATTTGAAAACATAGATTTAAATACTACCAGAAAGAGAAATCCATACAGCTAATGTGTAGAGTAAAAGTCGACAATAAAGAATCTCCTTGTAACTGCTATTATTGGTATGTTTCAAGATCAATTTACTAAAGTAACTTTAATAACCAAAATGACTATTTATTTCATCAGGTTTGATTGATACCTGCATATTGATACCTGTCACTGAACATATAAACTCAAACAAATTGTAATGGATAAACAAAATATCTTTCCATTCGTTGATATTTTGACACGATTTTGATCAGTCATGTTTAGTATATGGATATCCTATGTGGATTGCCTCGATCTTGCCAATATGACACAAATTTATGTAGAATATGCCAACTATGACTGATATTGAATAATTCCAAACATTCGCAGTTGAAATGAGTCTTGTACCCGTTGCACAAGTGAGTGCCTATCTAGACTCAGTAGCTAAGTGAATAACGCGATGGCATTTGAAGTGAACAGTATCAAAGTGAACATCGACTCAGAGAAGCAGATATAAACAACTGACAAGACCGAAATAGAACGAAACACGCATACTGGATTCCAAAAAATGTCATTCCGAATCAGTGCCTAATAAACATTAACACTATAATATCTTCCAAACATTCAAAACGTCTTCGTTCCACTATACTGCCATCTATTCAAAAGTCCATCGAGTACTTTTCATGTTTTAGTTTCGTTATCTGAACTGGATGGTTTGGTTGAGGAGCTTTCATTATCCTTCCGTACAACATTAACAGAACAAACTCTAAGCAGAAGTGAAGTATTTGAATTTCTCCACATACGACTCATAGCTTGGCCTTGATGAATATTACCCAGAGATAATAATGATAATAAAGTTGTGCAAATATATTGTGTATTAAGACAGATATTGTCAGGGTAATTATGATAAGAAATGTATGTGAATACAGATTCTGATGACAAAGCTATTAAGAACAACTGATCGTTTTAAAATTCTTTGTTTTTAAATATTCTTTTCGGATTTTAAAAGCTACTGTTCATTTATGAAGGTCATGGATACGCACTGGTGAGGTGTTCCATACTAGAACGAAACATTCGTTCAGTGCTTCCACGTTTCTAGTGGCGATCTAGCTAAGATCAGTTCGTGATTTCAGCTATTGAGATGCTGTTTATTTGTTCATTTGAGTTCTAAGAAAAACTTAATTTATGCATATAGTTGTTTAATAACTGTAGTACACTCTGTAGTTGTTGAACTTGAAGTTTATATAAAAACATAAATTGTTTGATAAATATAACTCGTTGATTATCATCATATTACTATGCACGTTATTTAGTTCCACTATAAATAAGAAACAATTTCTTACTTTTTATGTCAGTTGTAGACATTTGCGTTTGTTATTGCGAAAATTTGGTATACAAAACGCAAACTGTTCAAGCGAATCAGTTTCAAATGACAAAAACTTTTTGGTTATGAATTCTTCAGAATTCGCCTTTGTTTCACTGCGTTTATAAGTAAATGTTCCATATCAAACATTAGTATTAGCAACAATAGAATATGTCTCCGTTTTGTTAGCTGTTAAATAAATGCATTTTTAATCAGTTTTGCTCAGTAATAACCAACTAGCAAAAAGAATGTAAAAGCTTTACGAATATTTCCATATATATATATTATTTAGACTAAAAAACTTGTAAATAAAACTACAAATTACGTGTAGCTTTTGAGTTGATAAGCAATTTCCAACGAGTAACCATACAACTTATACACACTAATGGTTGATGCTTTGTTTCTCATATCAGTGTTCACTATACCATATCAAAATATTTTATCTTGAAATACAGAAGTTAAAGTTCTCTGATTTCACTTTCATCAACTTCAAATACAACAAGAAAAAACAGGTTTAAAGAGAAGCAAACTACTAAGGAGAACATTCTCCAAATCTATTACTGCAAAAAGTGATGTTTTTATAATAAGTAATCAAGCTTAATGGCGTCCAATTTACGTGATCATATCTATATTCTGAGACACAACAACATGTTGAAAGTATATTGGCCTGGTTAAAATTTGTAACATATGTGTATCTAAATTGTTTTTGAATCAAAATAATATCATATGTACAGAGTAGTATACAGTTATCTTCATAAATAAGTTTCGACAAATTGAAATTCAATGTTATAAATATTTTAAACAAAATTAATTGATTTTTGAAATAAGAAAGTTAAGGATAATCAGTTGTGTCACCCAAACAACAAACCATGTTCACATGTGAAGATTAAAATAACATTTGTTGTTTTACAAGTAAAAGGACGTAAACGACTTTTAATGTACAAGTCTAGTGTAATGGATTTCAGACGATTTATTTCCAACAGAAGTTATTCAATAACGAATGAAAAGTGTTAAATCAGAATAAAAAGGTGAATGTTATAGAGTTTTCACAAACACTATACATAACATATAAATGTTAGTTACTGAATATTGATGAACACATTATAGTCTACTTCATTCATTTGATGTTCTCATTTAAACATTACCTGTCATCGTTATCATTGGAAGGGAAAAAAAATTTGAACACTTATCAAACTTGAAACAAGGGCTCCAATTAGCAACATGATATTACAACTTTAACTAATAGTGCATGATTTAAACACGTGATGTACTATCATAACAAATTATCGATTTCGTGTTAGTTTGATAGTCATCCTCCAAGTTATCACTTATCGAACAGAAAATGATTAACTAACGACCCATAAGATTAGTATTGTATTTCTTTAATCTCGTGTACTCACGTTTTATATTTCTTGTAATTAGTGTAAAATAATTGTAACCTGAGTAACATACTACACAATCAAAAACATGTTCGATGTTTTCCAAAGACTAACTCATGTGATAGGTGTTGTGATTTATATAAGTTATTCTTAAGATAAAAACACTTGTAATTAGTTGAAAAAAAGTATGAAGCGATTTAGAATACATGAAAAATCAATACAGATCAAAAAAGTCATTATGAATGAAGAAATGCAAATGGACGTTATAAGCACTGTCGTTGCAGCATTGCATATTTATGGAAATGAATATACACAAATGAAGAAATTCATTGAAAGCAAGCTGAATAAACGCTATCTCCCTACATGGCATTACATAACCGGATATGATGTGGATAGGTTAGTAAGTATTTTCATCTTACTCATATATTTCTTGATCATTCTAAAAATTTTATAGTGTATGCATGTTTAGGTAATCCATTTCCTAGAAAATTTCTCAGAAAGTAAATGTAGGTTTTCATGTAAATCTAGCGCTTAGATCTGTTGCAACTAAGGTTTACTTAATATCTGATATTTGGAATACCGTCAAACGCATTGATTTTGTTCGTGATATATGAGTCATGGTTTATCCCTAGACGTTTTGTCTATAACAGTTAAAATCTGGAATGAGAAAAAATAAAATAAAAATAGAATAAAAGTTTGTAATGTAAAATTTCACTGTAAAACTATCTCACCACAAAATTCTGTTAGTTCGAAATTGGAAGTTTCACCTGTTCAGAAAAAATTTGAAATAAATCTATTTCTTACTTGTTTATGTTTGTAGATAGTTGTTGAGTTCGTAATTTGATTAAACTTGAGACCTTCTTTTAAAGAAATTCGTTCTACTATGACTTAACATGACAAATATCCGCTGTTCGTAAACAACTTTAAGAAACTTTTACATTGACATTATATACTATATGGAATAGTATTATTAAATTTCAACAAGTGATCCTTGTACAGAAAACAACTTGTTCCAAAGATAATAGTTTGTCTAGTTAAGTCTTCATATAAAACAACGTTTCTTTTTACTCGTAGTATAGCCACCATACAAATGAAATGATTGTAGGCAACTATTTGATGATAAGAACCGTTAATAAAGACCGATTACCTAAATTCGTCACATCTATAATATTTATCAGTTGAATTACTCATTCATAGCCAGTTACATGAGGTCTACAATTCGCCAGGTTAGTTTTCGTATGCTAGAATTATGTAAATTAAATCATAAAAAGGACAGGTAAAAGTGATTAAGAATTGTATTCTCATTTGTTTGTGGACATAGGACATCAATTTAAATTGAATAAAACTGTTAACGTTATTTGTTAACTACTTTCACTTTTGCATACTGTTGAAGTGATCTGAATCTGTACTCAAAAATCTAACCTTTGAGGTGTGTTTTGATTAAAAACATTGATTAAAAACCTTTCAAATAAATATTGAAACAGTTTTCTGTCTCAACTTCATGTTTTTTTAAATTCTGAATATCCATCTCTTGATAATTGCATAACTACTATAAAAATGACTTTTTATAAAAATGCTTTCATAATTCCTTTGTTAAATACTGAATTATCCGGCTTTTATTCTCAAATCAATCTTTCCCCGTTTTTTCACCATCTATGAAGCTAAGTCTTAGAGTGACAGGCTATTTCTCAACCACTGCATATTCCATTTCTTCACTTTTGCCTTCTCATGCTTGACTATAAATTTATGAAAGTGCCTATTATTAATTAAACAACATTCAACTACGATTAACTCTGCATCGATTTCATCTTTTGAACATAACTCAATCCATGTGTCTTGTCGATGAATATATTTTTCCGATGGGCTATTCGCATTAGGCTTCATAGATTCAAAAAAAATGAATAATTAATAATGTCACGCATAATCAGTTGAAATCTAGTTGATCCAAGTTGCCTCATTTATATGAACTGACGTATATACATGCATCTAATATTCGCATGAGATCATTATTGTCAACGAATAATTCTCCATTTCACCAGCTCGCCCGCTTGTTAGCCAGTAAATTAGGATCGACTGGTTCAAAGTTATCTGCCCACAGTATAAAAAACATTTCACCCTACATAAGTGCTAGAAAAATGTGGCATTTCTGATAATTTCGTGGCTCACTTTGAAGTATCATAGTTCTTTACCACAGTTGCACTAGAAGAAACAATATAAATTACACGTCAAAACGCTGACCAACTACCCCATACCAAAAGTATTCTAGCACATGGTGAATTATATGCCCTATATAAATATTATCCTACTACACCGGTTGTTCTTCATTTCTTTTCTTGATAATTATTTTGATTATTATAATCATCTTTCTTCTTATTACTCAATATTATTTTCAGAATCATGTAACATCATATGAATATTACGTCACACAACTGCTCAATGAGTATCACTACGTTGTAAATGATATATATATATATATATATATATATATATATATATATATATATATATATATATACAGAGAGAGAGAGCCATATGATTAGAGCTTTATTCTATTCATCCTTTTACTAAATGTCTAAAATGGGATTTTCACCATATTGAAATAATTTTATTCCTCAAGATAGAACATTAAACATTTCATTATTTATCTTTGCCGAAAATGACTGGTATTGTATACAGTTTTGTGGCAGAAATATATATTTGCTTTTATTGTGAAGAGTTTTATTCTTACATATAATGTCGAACTGAGATTATTTGTTAATCTCGTTCTCCATCTTACAATATACGTCACCTTCGAGTATGACGTAATTACAGTGAATCAATGTTTGCCTATAACATTTTCTTCTATTTTTAATTATAATCACTATGGTATATTAATGTTATATCATGAAAGTTATGAAAAAATATGTTTTATTTTTCTTATTTCAGCTCACTACTAATGCCTGTTCAATACTTAATTTCATTTAAATGTGAAGAGAAGAATGTTACTGTTTTCAAAACAATCTAAATATACAATAATTATAAATATTCAGATATTCTGTTTGTCTTTAACCATTTATTTGTGCCTGTTTGTATGCGTGTAAGTGGGAATTCCTATATATTTCAATAGGGTGCTGCTTGAAATGAAAATAAAGTAAACAGCTCTCACGACAACCTTTAGATTGAAAGGATTATACCGTATATCTCGCTATTAGAATTTATGGTTTTTATATAAGTCTAGTTATTTTAGCAATCGACTGAAAAAAATCGCGAGAATCAAGTATTCTTTATTAAGTTGGACTAAATAAAATACTTCAGTGTAAAACGTTCGAAGAGGCCTCGTTCCTAAATTAAGACATTTTGACCATTTATTCTTATGTTGTGGTTATAAACAGATACGTTTTTGATGAATATAATAAGACTTTATTTCTGTTTGGTTTCATCTAATCACAACACTGAGTAATTGGTATAATAATGAGAGGTGATTAGTTGTATCGTTTAACTGAAGGCTGAGAAATCCAGGTAAACTAATTACGAAGGGAAGTAAAAATCTCAGATATCTATTTTATTTATGAAATTCAAATTATTCCCTTATTCGACACACTAAATTATACATAAAGTTATTGACTAGAATTTCCCTTTAAATTAAATGTTACGACCCAATCGCTGCTAAACTAAAATTCCGTAAACTTTACTCTGGTACAATAAAAAAACAGATTGACAATCCCTCTCCTAACTACTGCGATATTGATAAATCATGAGTTTATTAAGAACATTTAAAGAATTGCAGCACAATTACGTCATCGGTTTACATTTGGTTAGTTAACATTGCAAAAGGAAAGCATTACGGCTATCCAAACTTTATACAAAGCTTAGTAATTAATTGAATACACAGAATGCGATCTATATATCTGTTAGATGACTCTCTGTATCATAACCAAAACTGTTCGTCATTATGAAGAACACCAAATGAAATCCTGAGAGAAGTAAAAAAAATCTTCCTAAATTTAATTTAACGTAATTCTGATTATTTCTAAAATTACAGACTTAAAAAAAGAAACTCTCTAGATTACTCCATAATTTACCTATTTTAAATAAGTTTATACTTAATAAACTTTGTTAAGCACTGATTTAATGTCTCCTAAAGATTAGTGAATATATGCTGAAAACATTACGAAAAAGTATTCTCTGATTTCTCTCAACTTCGAACTAAACGGAAGTTTAAAATATTGAATGAATTTTACTCCATAAATTCCTCTCAAAATTGTATTCTACTATTTTGATATATTTTTGTTCACTGAATAAGAGACTGACTTGCTCAAAACAAATTGTGATTAGGTTAACATGTCTACTCAAAAGCTAAAAAGTATCAAGTTGTTAAGTAAAATGATTGCCAGGTAAAAAATCACGCAATGTAGAAAATTCAGCGAACAAGATTTCATGAAGAAAAGGTCTTAAGGTTTAAAGAACTAAACATAATTTGATACTCAGTTAAATTCTTTCAAAAGATATTATAAAATTCAGTTGTTATCCAGCATATGAATTACGATTACTAAACATTCATTGTAGGATCCAAACTGAGGTTTGGATTGAGGAATAACTTTCCAGGTAGTTTAGATATGCGTCTTGCCCAGTTGAAATCCAGAACAAGTGATTTGGGTAAATAACGGTTCTAATATTCATCATAAATATAAATGTACATCATTACCTAAACAAATATTACCATTCTGTTATTCCACCAACAATTGTTCAATTAATCAAATCAACAACACAAATAAATGATATTCTATCCCTCCTAGATAGATCAGATTCGTTCAAAGGATAATATTTGGTTGCCTTATGACACAAAATGTTTCCTATTCTGGAAGAGTGCTTTAATTCACAATCAAAATGCACAACTCCAGTCCACGCAAGCAATCCAATCAAAAGAGGAACAAATCAATATGGCTGTCACCATGACTAAGTATCTGCTTAAACAACCTAGTGAAGTTCAGAAAGAAACATAGAAACTCAGTGAAGGCAAAATAAATAGAAACTATAATAAAATACAAATATTGTCATGAAAAATAACAGATTAACAAAATGTACAACTGAAGGAATCAACAAGGACAAATTACAAATGTATACGTGGAGGGATATTCACATACAAAGCCTTCAAAAATGGATCTTACACTCATCTTTACTTAGAGTGTCAAAACTTTTATTAATTTCCTTGTTCTTCACCCACCAATTCATCTTCAGCCGTCATCGTCGTTAAAATCCGAAAGTTACCAATGAAAAAAAAATCTATTTATAATTCATTATGTATTTATTTCAGTAAACGTCACTAATAACACAGTACTCAAATTCATCATATTCATATGTACAGTAATTTAAGTAATAGAAATAAATAAACAATTAAAAATATGTTATTGTGACCTTATTTTTATAGAACAATGATATTTTTGATTAATCTAACATTCCATTTGAATACACACTACTGCTTTACCTGTCTTTATATTTAATGCTTCATTCACCTGATATCGTAAATAATTCTTACATTAAATGAAAATTGCAATTAACTGTCATTTAAATGTACGCATACATTGATGTTTCTATAATTATATAAAGCCTACCTAATGATTGTGTATTTAAAAACATTTTCAGCTGACTACATATACACGTACTTCAGTCTTAAATATCTTTACCTAATAACCATTGACTATAGCCAGGTTGATATTCAAACATTCAGATCATGTATTAGAGTATGCATAATTTTCTGAAGTATCAATATTGAAATTATGTAACTGAAATTAGGACTTTAAATTGTAAACCTATTAAATGGATATTTCATTAAGTTTTCTAAATTCAGTATTCACAAAATACTAATTAGTTTTTTTTAGCTAGATAATTATAATACATGTTAAGGTTTCTTCAATAAATGGGAAACAGGAGATAGATTACTGAAAACTAACGTTAACTAGTCAGTGGGCTGCTAAACAAAGCACAACGATGACCAAATCATTTATTGAGTCCAAAACCGAAAAAATGATATCCCTCTCTGAATTTGGCACCACCAAGTTGGTATTTCAAAATCCTTTGGTTCGAAGCTTGAGTAATTCGCCAGATAACAAGAACTATTATTAAACGAAATGAATCTTTGTAGACACTAGATTAAACACTCACTTTTTGCTTATAAGTTAGGTGGTTTATTTCGGATCCCTTAACCGATGAAGTCACTCAGATCGGTAGGAAATGAATGTGTGATAACTTTTATTTACGGACAAAACATATTAAGAATAAGAGGCAACCGTTTCTTGCCCCGTTATTTCATAGCAGGTAAAAGTCCTGACTATAGTCCTGTTTGGGCGGCAGACCAATACTGGTCTTATAAATGGCATTTATGCTTTCAACAAAGAACCTGACCACAGATCAATATTAGTTAGCTTGTAATCACTAACTAGCCCCTTTTGATACTATAATCCCTGTCGTGGTGAATCTTTGAAGTATGAAATGAGAACGTAATTTTCAGTGAATATAAAAAACGGAAATTATTAACTAGTATCGTATTGGAAAATAAATTTGTAATATTTATATATTTGGTCAGTATAGCATAAGCTTTTATTCAGAAAAAAAGTGAACTAACCGAATAAAAGACGAAATCAATGTCTAACTTTGATTTAAACAAGTACCACAGTCGGTAATCAGAACTTTTAAAAAAATCAAATAGATTTTACGTTGCAGAAAATCGTGGAAAATCTTAAAAGAATAAACATCACCTTGTTTAACTAGGTCAACGAAGTCATCTCTATTCATGAAAAGATTTGGTCATTTATTTTTATTGATCGGCTAAATTCCACCAATCAATCCTTGAACCTTATTCTCATACTGTCTATAACTTAATTAAGTTAAACGGTAAGCACTCCAAAACAATAAATTATAGAATGAAGCCGTAGTGAGGCATTTAATTACTCATCTACAATTCGCAATAGTGACAAGTATAAGTAGAACTAATGGAAACAAAATTGTATCACGTTTAAAACTGTTATTAGATGAAATTCTGAGGTCAAATGTCATCAAATTACAGATAAACCAGAAAAATAATCTTAAATAACTAGCTAATTCACGAATGAAGTAATTTGACACTTTTTCTTTTGCTCATTGGGCTGTAAAAATTGTCAACTCCTTATTAAATGTTGAAGCTCCTAATTTCTCTAATTTTGGCAATCAAACTAACAGAAAATGAAAAGTCGTTCTAAGATACATGGATAATGAAGCACCAAACTGAAACTGTATTATAGTTGCATCGACAGGATCTCTGACAGATTCAGTAGATACATACAACAGTAGATAAAAAGATTATTAATGTATTTTAGACAACTGAGTTGAATTTTATTGGGGCTTGCTGGTGTTTCGAAAATAGCACTCATTTGTAAAGGAATAAAAGATTTTTACCCTTATTATAAACAGTAAATTGGAGTGCATACAATATCTGTTAATCACCTCAAATCAAATGTCCTTGAGACAAGCTCAAGATCTGTGAATCAGCAGTTCCCATTCCTAACTGTAGTCCGTCTACTACATTTTAAATGATAATGTGTTTGCATCAGTAAAAGCACTTATACAACCAATACGGCTAAAGTTTACTCTTTTGAATTTCACACTCGGTAGTCAATTAACCAGTCTTGTATTTTATCAGAAATAACGGCATTATTGCTGTTAATTTGCTTGGATTGTGCATGTCACATTGATCTAAAAATATTTGACATCACTCAGTATCATGTACCAGCAGTAACAATGAATGAATAAATAACACTGTTTTTGGAGTCACTAAAATAAGAAACATGAATTCTCATGTTTCATTTAACGTTAGAAAATATTCCGTTCACAAACGAATCCAAAGCTATACAGTTCTTCTGATCATGATATTTCAATAACCCAATAATAAACGATGTTCTTTAAATCGTTTCGCGTAAGTATTTGTCTATTTATGAAGACATCTGAATGATCATAATCAATTAGCTTGTTTTACATAAAAATCAAACTGACACCATATCATATTTTTACGACTTTGTTGATCATATTCTCAGTTTACAACATTTTAATTCTTGATAAAAGTTTCAAAGAAACCATACAATCAACATTTAATACTTTTTCATCTTCATAAACTTCATTTTGTTCTGTGTAATACCATTTATTTACTGATAAAAATCTGTTTGTATGAAACCACAAAAATGTTCATTTACCTACAGTGTTAAACAGATTTTTTACTTATTCCATACAATTAAATATTACTAATTAGAGTTTTATTTGATCAAAATTAATCAAGTCAATAAAAATCACAGGTAGATTCAATCTATATACATAAGAATTTGTTTGTACATTTTTGCTCGTTCAATGATGCTTAGCATCGATGTCATTCATGCTTCGGATACTACTAAGTTTCATGTCATTACAATGACTATCACAATTAATGTTTAGCTTTTATTCTATAATCAATAGAATTCGATTACTGTGTTTATATTGGTATTGCTAAATTCTACTAACAACCAACAAGAAATGAAATCATATGAAGGTAACTGACAGAGTGATAGCAAGACACAACTCTACCTTTTTGATTATAATTAAACTTTCATATGACAAAACTCATACAAAAGTTGAAAGAACGAACTACACATCATAGCTTTAACTTAAAATTAAACAAGTAATAGATTATTAGATTCATAACTTGTATTTATTTCAGTAAAAATCTATAAAGATGCCAATTGAACAGAGACCATATAGTAGTGTTCTACATCAAGCTGGTGAAAGAAAAGCCATCATTAAATATGTGGAAATGAGTAAAGAAATGCAACAAGATGCTGTACAAACTGCTGCAATGGCCATGGATAAATATAATGACGACAAGGATATTGCATTATTTTTGAAAAAAGAATTTGATCGTAAATATGAACCGACATGGCATTGTGTGATTGGAAGTAAATTTTCAAGGTATGCTAATATACTTTTATTTTTGTAAATTTCGAATAAGAAAAGCCATGGTATTATGAATGGTTTAACATCATTACTTTTATTTTTAATTAAGGGCGTACAAAATTATCACGGAAAATGATTTTAAAGAAGTCTGGAAACACTTTAGATTTTCACCTTTGAATAGTATTTCATTATTAATATTAAGTGTGAAGTATCTCGATTTAAAAAAAATTCAATCTCTTAGCTCGAAAGGTTCAGTCTTGTACTTGAAAAAAATCGAACATAATAATAAACAAATGAAATGACTACCTAAGGATGTTGTAAATGTTGCACAAGTTGTTGTGCTCATCGCTATTTTACCAATTACAAAAGACATTTTAGTTTTCGCTCTCATGGAAAAAACTGCATAAGAGACATATATATATTCTTAAAAAAAAGCTCCCACTTTGTACTTAATATTATTCTTATAAAAAATAATGAATATTTTTATTCTTTTTTCCATAATTTCTGTTAGTGTACTTTGAATTACTTACTAAAAAAAACAAATGTATTATGATCACCGTTGCTCAGAAGCATCTCTTTTTGTATAGATGATTTTACGATTGAATAATTATTTGATTATCTCTTCTAATGTTTTTGCGGTAATTTATTTGATGTTGCATGAATCAGTTATTCAACTGTATGTTTATTTTTTTATCTAACTTACCCATTGAAATAGTCAACATAAAACTGTTTAAAGTAAACTAGACTAAAATGGATGGATAACTTATCAAATGGATCGTAGTATCAAACAATAGTAGACAATAGTCTATGAATGTTATATTCACATTTTAATCCTAAATATAACTAACAAATATCAAACAGTATAGTAAGCAACCATATCAATTTTGCTCACATCATTACATCAGTTAAATAAAAAAAAATTTAGCATCAAGCCGCCACTGGTGTCTAATTGATGCAATCAGTGTAAACTTATTTGATGTTTTGATCACCGATAAAAAAATTTGGGTTATTTTTTAATGTTAATCCTGTAATTTCCTATGGATATCATTGATGTAGGTAGCATGGAATAAAATTACTTTTTAATTGATATCCAAGTTTAATAATAGCTAACAAATGAAATTGAAATAACACTAATATTTGTATATGGAATAATTCTTCTTTCTTTACTGCTTTTCTATTTAGTTATGTAACGCATATAAAACAATTCTGTATTTACTTTTCACTGGAAGATCGTGGAGTGCTTCTTTTCAAAACTGTGTGAAGTATTCAATTGCCATGGATTTCTCATCATTTTCATCATCATTTGTACTAGTTACGATTATAATATTAATATAGATATCATGTTAACATATCGAGTTAAAACAACAATATGATCTATAATAATATATATTTAGCTTTATTTTGACGTATTAAATTTATTTAATTGAAATCTAAAATTCTCGTTGATTCCTTTTAAATTTTATTCTGTGGATATTAGTGATACCAAACTATACTAGTTACAATATAATGCGGTGAGTAATCGAGAACTATTCTTCTTGTCCATAATGCTAAGCAAACTCTATTGACCATGTCGTTATGTAGACACTGACATATCAATTAAATATTAATATGTAGACAGAATAATATCGGTTTTTAGAAAAACCTTATTTAATTTGGTTTTTACATTGCAAAATTAAAATTATAGACATGATATAGCAAATAATGAGGCTGACATTTAGGTTAGTTAAAATCCTTGATACGAATAATTACTACTTAAATGTAACTTGTTCCTAAGAAAAACATCACTGAATAGAAAAGGATATGTTTGTGGTTTTCATGCAGAGTAGTTAGAGTGAAGTAATTTCGCACGAGATTCAATTACTTAATGAAGTAAACCAATATGTAACAACTTCTATTTCCGAATTTGAAAGAATCATCATAATGATCACTATTTGATTTGATTTTAGTTTTGTATAGTATATTATCTAGATTGATTTCATTAGAGTGTATGTGAAAAGTTTTTATGTTAAAAAGAATTGGTTAAATTACTTCAGAAAAAGTAAGGTCAAAACATACATTGTGACATTAGAACTAGAATACATATTTGTCAATAGGCAGCATAAGCATTCAAATCGGCATGGGAAAATCAATAAAAATTACATAACCGTCCAAAGCCTCTCGAAACTTGAAAGTTGAATAATTCAGTAAAGAATCAATGTAAGTTAACAAATATATTGTGGTCGAGCAGAAATAGATAATTATCACGATAACACACAGTTAACGTTCTCTTTTAATCAGTCGGATACCTGGTCACAAAACATTGTACAATAAAGACTACAGTTTTATGATTATTAACTTCAAAATTAGCAACGGAAATAACTACATTATGTTTTGGATAGACTTGGTAAATTTAGATTTCTTCTTTGAACTACCAATATTTCGCTTGAACCAATCTTTTTGAACGAGTTCAAAAAAACAACAAAAAGAATACCTTTTTTAAACAAATATTTGCAATTTATTAAATGAAGCTTTGGAAGACTAAAGAGGATAGTTATTGACTTGATAGCTTAAACGACTTTTGCTTGTTGATAATTTTTAGCCGAATCTAGTTTTTATTTCGCTTTAGGAAATACTGCTGCCTTATAAAAAGTCTAATCCTCTAAAAAGTAACTCTTTCTAAACAGCACTCACAGTTGAATTTTAGTTTCGATTTCCGGAGAAACAAATGATACTTAATTACTGTCTAGTAAGTCAAATCATATCAGCTCTCACTTGTCACTTCGACAGAAGACCATCCCGAGTCCCACTAGATCAGTAAGAAACTCTGACTGTAGCACTGTGTGATGTTCAGTTTACTCTCCAACAGAACACCAGTTTCCTAGAAATTTCAGGTATGAGCAGCTGATCAATCCAAACTAGTGTGTAATCTACTCATTATCTTGGTCCTATGTAGCTTATTTGCATCCATTTAGCACCATACAAAGTATAATATTATGCCTAAAACTTGTCAAATTCAGTTTATAAAAACTGTTTATCACCAAGGGCTAGATAATATGAAATTGTTTATTTACATACTAGTGATAAATATTGACATGTTGTAGCTTTAAATGAGCAATCACTAATAAATCAAATAAAAATTTAGTACATCAATTCAAAATTCAATTATATCTTCGTAATTACTATCGATATCTGTGTGTAAAGTTTCAAATGAGTATCCATTCTGAACATTTTTAGTGTATCATCTAGTAAACAGATCTTGTAGTATCAACTGTTGTACTCAATTTAGAAGTATAATATTAGCATAGCTGTCATAAAATACAGCTACTTAAATTAGCGTCAAACCTCTAGAATTATAAGTCTTACTTTATTTGTTTTTGTGTAATATATCTTTTGTATAATGAAAGCGAACCGACAAAGATTTGTTACCATATTAACAATCCTTTCTTAAGATTGTTAAGAGAGACAAGAAACTTTCACTAGACTATTTTAACTTACCAGAACTGAAATGGTTAAGTATCACCCCATTCTTTCTTAGAAAAGCCTGTTTCGACATACGTCAGTTAAAAACAATCAACTATAAGAAGTATTTATAACTGCATATTAAAATTATTGAGTGTCAAACCTTCGAAATTCATTGAAAAACACAGTTATTTTATATGACGTAACTGACAAAATAACATATCAGTGTTTTGGTTATATATTTTGTTAGGTGGTCAATAACGGAATATAGAGCAAGAAAATCATCAACTTGAAAATATTTAGCGCTATATGTTCCCATCTGTTAGTGGGACATAGATGGAATGAAAGCATGACTACGTTGCTACGCGCTGACTGGATAGGAAATTAACTAGAAAATATCTAAGCAAGCGTTACAACACCATCCTTTCTAATTATGTTGTTACTGAGACATGAACTCTTTTGTTCAAACAAAAGATTACCAGATCATAAGAGCTAAAGTTTGTCCCATTTTCATTTTAACTATCACGTCTACCCACAAGTAAGACATACAACGAGCATATAAATGTAAACCTCGCCCAGTATGAAAATCCACTTATCAAATCACTCCTGGACGTCATCAGTCAGAAAGTATACACTTTCAACAAAAGTAAATTAGTATTTATAGTTCTTTGCAGATTTCTTTATCATCCTAACTTTTTTCAGTGCGGTTTACAGTCATCTAAGATTTATGTTAGTGTTTTATAGGCTGACTTTTAAAGCAAAGCGTTCAGAACAGATTTCATCTTCAAAATTTTTTTTCTTTAAAATTTCCGAACAACCTTTTAAAAGCAGACTAATTTGATGTTATCCTAACAAACTAAAGGCATTAGAAAACGAAGACCAATTTTAAAATCAGTCTAATTCACAAGTAACTAGTTTTAAAAAACTATATTTTATTAGTAACTGAATAATAGGAGACCGTGACGCTTTGATATGTCCGATAGAAAAAATGGCATATAATAGGTAACTGAAGTTACATTTTTACATCTCACAAAATTTTATACATTGAGAAATAATTTTATCAACATTGACACAGAAACTATTTCTACAATACTGAAGAACGCTTTTAATAATCGATTCACTATGTATATTTATTACGTACACAAGTATGTTTGTCTAAATTCTAGTTTTCAAGTGTTTTTGTAAGTTAGAAATCTAGATTATTTTCTTGAAGTTTACGGACTTTTTTAAATATGTATTGACGGCAAAATGTCACTTAACCTGAATAACTGAAACTTCACTGCTTCAAATATTCAGTGCATCATCACAGAAGATATATATATATATATGTATATATATGTATATATATATATATATATATATATATATATATATATATATATATATATATATATATATATAATGAGAATGTTATATATCAAATATAATTACATACTGAGAAATTATATTTCTCAAATCATTTATACTAGATTATTACTTATGAGTGAATAGAATTGTAGAGAATGAATTATTGATTATATTTTAATGTACTTAAATATTTCTTCAAATATAAATCGAATCTCATATTTCTGGATTAGTTTCAATTTTAAATCCACCGCTTAGTGTGATGTGTTCTCACATTCGCTAAGTAAAGGCGCGATCCCAAGCAATCGGCAGCTAGAGCATATCACATATGACATCAAAGATTATGGAATCCTTGGTATAGGACGGTCTATGAGACTACTTATTATCCATAAACTTCTTTTCCCCATAAGAACACAGATTTAGGAAGAAGCATTCTCGTATAATCAAGCTGCTGAATGCGATGGATAGATGGACAACCATCCTTGATTGCAAACGGAAAATTGATGTCATAAATATTTACTTCTTAAAGTGTGTTTCATCAATTAGCTCAGACTGTTAGGTATCAAACCAACTTTTATAGACTAGTTGACTTCATTTCTAAAAATTTCAATTTTGTGATCAGGGCCAATTTCAATTTTTCTTGGGCTATAGAATATCCTAAAAGCGTCCCTTCAGGGTTCAATATTTGAACCACTTTTTTGCTTATTTTATATAAAACAAGTATCGTCTGAGTCACTAAGTTCACAGATGATATTAAACTTTGGAATGAAGTATGCAGCCCAGATGATAAACTGGCTCTTCAAGAGGATCTGACTCGTTTCCTGTTCGTCAACACTTCTGTCCAAAACTCTCACGTTCGCCGATCTGTCCAACGAACGAAACCTTTAATTATGGAAAGCGTAAACCCTTTCTAGTGGGAAGCTGCTGTAGTGATCTACCGTTATGAAGAGAAAGCGATAGGTTTAATAGGAACATTTATTATTACAACCAATTTTATCAGTAATTTTTTTACTCTACCTTTTTGTTTAATTATACCAAAAACACAGATTGTCCGTTGTCTGTGACCTTGAGCTTGCTCACATACCCATGGTAGTTTGCCTGTATACCTTGGCGCCATATGGGTATTATTTCGATACCACTAGATAGCCAACAAATATACATTCATTTACCGATCCAATATTCCTTCTTACTGCGAACCTACGGAGGGTAATTGACACCTAACTGATCTGTAGTGGTGATCATAGTCGATTTCGGCTGGTCAAACGATAGGCGTATGTTAGCCAGTGGAAAGTTGAAGGATAGGCAGAGACGATACTTATTACGCACAAATCAGTTGGCGTCTTCAAGAGGACAGGAGCATTGGGGTATCTTCAGCTTCCAATTGTGATGATGAACGAAAGCCTTACACATGTCGCTTCGTTAATCATCCTGATTATGACCTTGGAAATGGGCTAATTCCAGAAAAGCGTAAAATGTTGAATAACTAAGAAAAGACAAAAAATTATTGTGAGGGAGTTTCGTACTCTGATTCGGGTTTTTTGATTATGGAACTTACATCGTTCGTCTGAACAAACTCATCTCTTAGTGTAGAGTCTATTTTGAAGGCTTTGTTTTGGGAAAATCTCTCCATGTACATATTTTTAATATGTTCATATTGACTCTTTCTGTGCTACATTTTGGCACTCTGTTTAATTCCATTTTGTGATATTAATTTCTCTCTTTTGTTACAGTTTCTATTTTTGTACCTTTATTGGAGTTTCTATGTTTTCTACTGAACTGTATTATGTAGTTTAAATTGATACTTAGTTATGACTACAGCCATATCTGATTTGATACCCTGGAGGGTAGTTAGTCAGCAAAGTACCAGAATTTCACTTGGCAGTTTGATTTGTATGTTATTTTCAGGGTGGAATATGACACTCAGCGTCTTCTCTTCTTGATACGTTATCGTAAGCAAAAAGTTCAAGAGATCGAATAGGAATGCATATACCAAAACCAGAATGTGAGTCAGATAGAGGATGTGATATTCTGGAATGTTTAAGTGGAAGAATACTTGAAATTACACAAACCTTGTTGAAAGAATTAATAGTAGGTTCTTAGGCAGAACACTACAATTTAGAAACCTTATGGTTGAATGCAATCAAAATGGAGTCATCCAAAAGCAGTAGAGGAAGTGGACTTGTAGTGACTTCACTTTTACAAAGAAAACACGAGTTGTTAGATAGTAACATTCATTAGTACAATCCAAAGTACCAGTGAACGAATTATCGAATATTTCTTTATTCGTACTTTTGTTTGAACGAAATGACGTTTGTTCTTTTTTTATATATACTGACATTACACTACGATCATGCGTCTTTTCCTCTTACGAGTTGCCATCTTGCGTTGTTGGCTCTGTAAATTCGCTCATTTCTCTGGCACGTTTCGTTATTTCTTCGATACCACGAAATCGCCAGAAAATACTCGAATTTCATCTAGTCTATCCCATATTGTTCCTTATTGTGAAAGATCTGTGATTTCGTGCGGGGCCCGCATTCAATCCGTCTATAGACGTGTTCATACGCAACTCGTAAATCTAGAGACTATTCAGTGTACCTGAATTCTTTAAGTACCCTTAAATTCCTAATAAAATTATTTCCTCCGGGGATACGATAAAATGAGCTGAAACAGTCAGGAGATCGGCAGCAAATGCTAGGGAACACGTATTCTATGAGTTAGCAGACTTCAAATAATCTACTTCTGCACGATAACTCTGAAGATTTCGGAAAAGTGCTGCATCTAGTAACTGGACCATAAGTGAGAGATCTCGTTTTCAAATGGAAGCTCTCAAAGGAGTTTACCACATCGATCTAGTTTTTCCGAGATATTTACCCCTATCCGCACCAGCGCCTCAGTACTGTGTTCTCAGTAATGCTTTGAATTTCCTTCGAAGAATCGCAGTTCGTGGTTGAAGTCTAGAATCAATGAGAATATATTACAGAGGGTAGAATAAAATTTGTACATAGACGGCTTTAAATAATCACCCGCCTGAGCTACAATTTATCTTCGTCATCGGAAATTATGACTGTGACCATCAAAACGATGAGAGGAAATGCGTCAGCAAGCTTAGCAAATAAAGCTTCTGAGATGATGTAAACCAATAAATATTATTAATTTATATATATTGGGCAGGTTATTGAAGTAGATAGTTGACCAGTCCACGGATTAAGAAAACCTATGAAAGTCAATTTTCAGGAATGGCCCCACCATGTCTTCTTAAGTGTTAATAGATGGAGATGTGGTTATTGATTGGATTTGACAGTCCTGAGGCTCATTGGGACTTAGACCAACGGTCTGGTAGAAGAGAGGGCCAATAGCGCGTTTACTAAACTGTTGAACCCACATGGTTTTTTCCAGCTTCTTGGCAAATTAATAAATCCAGTCTTCCCCAGTTATTCACTCACCATAAGACCTTGTCAAACACATAACCTTATAACTTAAAACCTTGTTTATTTTTATGCTAATGCATTGGCATTCCTTGCTTCATTTACCACATATCTAACATATTCTTAATGACCATAAACACTTGGTGATGCCTCACCCCATCCAGTCAACCATCCAACCTCCTTCATTTCACTTCGCCTAGCTTACCAACTTTTTCCCCCCATGTCCTAGTAAACGGCTGCATGAAATAAGTTCACCCGACCAAACCCGTGTTTAACTTCTGATTACCGCCGTGAAATAAACATGTTTCCCCTGGGAATGTTGTGCGGAAACTGAAAAGAAGTTTTTTTCTACAGAATACTTAATTTTTCGTAAAAATTTCACTAAAAGCCCCTATGATATTATGAAAACTGTACTAGAGTAGCAGGCATCAAAAGTTGTGCAAGGATTGTAAGTACATTTGTCTAGCCGGACATATTAGTGGTTTGTTCACTACTCATTTGAGCCTTACATTGAGTCTCACGCAGACCACCAACTTAACGCAACCAGCGAAACTACATTGAGTAAAACCATCCAAACTGTGTACATTTGACAAATGAATCAACGTAACCGACTAGCCGACCAATGTAGACAACTCAATCTCGAATCCGACGTATACACAGATGCTAGTTCAGCCATAATAGGCATGTATGAAAATCCTATCATCTTATCGTTACTTTGTTTACGCATCAACTCGTCGCATAATTCTATTTCACTAATTATGCCATAATGTTTGACATGTTTATCATATTTTCATTATTGTATTATCGTGCAGGGACCAGGATCCTTATTCATATAGATATTAAGTTATGACAAAGAAGGAATTATCTTGATCACTCATGGAATCTAATCCGGCTCACAACTTTAGTGGATGCGTTAAATTCGGAGTATGGCTCACCAATTCCGTAAATTGACTTCGACAATCGAATATGCTATGAAGTAAACCGAGTTTCCCACTTCTGTATATTATATTTAGGCGAATACTGTTTATGTGATGGAGTTAATCAGGAACCAAATACGAATTCAGTTGAATGAATTTATTTCAGTAAATCATCCATGCAGAGAGACATCAGAAAACTTAAAGCGTGCAAGCACTGCGAACCGATATGAAGAAGGCGAATAAGCCAACTCTATGCGTCAGACAAAAGAGCTAGACATGTAACAGGAAAGTAGGTTACAGACACACTCAGTCGGATAGAAACAAACAATGTTATAAGTGAATAGTTGACACGGTTGGAAGACGTGAATAACTCCAAAAGAATGGACTGATGAAACTGTCAAAGGCCGGGACAAGTACTGTGAGTCTGACATATTAGTATAAACACTAGAAGAGCTATTACAGGACATGCTTAACTAAGTGTTCCTTCACCTCAACCGACGGAAAGAAGCAGGGTCAACTGTAGTTATGACTTATCCAAACAAGAGATCGAGAGTTTGAGACGTCTATTTGTACGGCGTGTAAACCTTTGTAAAGCAATCTTCGTGTGCTCCAAAGAAAACATACAATCACTAATTAACCTAAATTTATCAAAGGCGAATCCTGAGCGGCAAAACACTATGCGTATTCAGGACAAAAAACCACAAGCTATTTCACAAAAGCTTGGGTGATGCTAGTCGTTCTAGATTGTTGCTGCATTTCTTACGTTGTCCGAAAGTCAGTGACATCCCGCCTGACACAGAAACCGTTTAGCTTGGTGGATGATTCGGCCCAGCAATATCTTCTCTAGAGAAGTGACCACAGAAAAGGCCGGCAGTGCTGCTCTTGGTAACTGCCGAACCGAAACAAATGTCGAATGATTTTTGAGATAAACCGTGAAATACGAAATTGTTGTTATTTTTGTTAGGAAGCTTTGCATCTCATAGATTACAACCAGAGAAAAGATCGGTATGAATTAGTGAGCTTCTTATTGTACGTCTAGTTCCGTTCGTTTCAGCCTACAATCCAACCATGTAGGTGCTTTCCTGAATTGGAGAAGATTGTTAGTGGCATGATATATTTCGATCATATCCTCCCAATCATCAGTATAACAATATTACAAACCAAACTACATATCTAAAAGCCACATTCTATAATTAGAAGCCTCGATGGAAAACTTGACAATATTACCAAAAGTCTGTAGCCATACCGAAAAACCAAGAAGCAAGTACACGTCAAAAAAATATTACATATTAATACTTCTCATGACATGTTTGATTGTTTAGTTGCATGGAATTTTGCCTAGTGTTCCTCCCGCATAGTTTCAATACTGTTTTTTTGGTTTTCGAGAACTCCAAATGGCAAAGGAACTGATTAACTGGGAAGAAGTAAAAAAACACCAATCTTTAAAGGACCGCTGGATCGTAATCCATAATAAGGTTTATGATGTTTCAAGCTGGCAGAACAAACATCCTGGAGGTAGAAAAGTGATTGGTCACTATGCTGGTCAAGACGCGACAGTATTTGAAATACGCTAATACCAACTTAGTTTTCAGGGTGCATTCATTGCGTTCCACAAAAATCTTCAGTACGCTGAGAAGTTCTTGAGTGCATATTATGTCGGAGATTTGGATCAAGAGTGTCCGGAAGATAAGGATATAAATTCAAAAATTAAGGAATACCATGAAGATTTAGAAGGTTTACGCACTATTCTACTAAAGAAGGTATGCTTCGAAATCAGTTGTTGGCCCTATTCAATTTTCTTAAGTGTCATAATACTTTACCGTGACACTAGACAACTTTATGCGTTAATTACAGTGAATAATCGTAGCCCCATCCAAGACTCCGTGTATCTCGAAAGTCGGCTGGGTAAACTTTATGTAGAAAGTCACCGTGAAGTCCATATCTTATAGTTTATAAATAGCCTTATTTTTTGTATAGTCCCTTAATATATCAAATTCTTAATTTTTTATAAAAGTTACTTAAGCCTCCAACACTTGAAACATTTCCTTGACTTTATAGTAAAGTAAACACTTCCAAAGTAAGACTTAAATTGCTAGACAATCTATATACATATGAATACTCCACAGAATCTCGAACAAATTCTACATTGTATTCTTGAAGGATGTTAAACCTGTCGGTTATAGTTTTATTTGAAAAAGGATTCAATAGGATAATCATTTCCACGACTTCTTGTGGCAAAGACAGTTCAGGGGTCTATATTTCGAAGTCGTTTTTCATGTGGTCGTACAGGTTGTACTTGATAAATGTCTTGAGTTGTGGAAATAACAATTGACTAAATGAAATGGTATTCTTTCTCTCTTAGTAACTTGAGTCACGTCTTTTAGTTTGTCACAAAACCTAAAAAGATAACCAGAATACTAAGAAATATTTCAAGATTGGTCTATCCTCCAAATAATGGACTAAAATTTTTGCTAATGATGACATTCACCAGTCTTTTAAAAGCACACCTGTCCATTTTACCGATTATAACGATTATCATAAGATTATAACTTATTACCCACGTGTCGCTTGATTGTAAAACTAGTAATCTTCAAAAATTTTGTGGGTTAATGTTCGTTCCTTCTAAAGGGAATAAATGGGCGTTTAATTCTTGCTACTAACTCCAGCTCCTAACTTATTGAGTACTTGAGCAACAGTTTTTCAAACACACAGGCATCTTTGGCACAAATTTCCAGCGTTATCTGGTGTAGATGTGCAGATTAACTTATTTTCAGCAATCTAAAGTGTTTATACTTGTGCCCTAAACTATTATAACTTTTGTCTACCAACGGAAAAGTTATCGAATATATTTCGTATGAACTCCACTGACTTATTTATTTCTGCTGTTACTAGACGCCGATATTCTAAAAAATTGAGGTTATTTTTACGTTTTCCAATTTCATTATTAGGGACTCTTTGAAGGAAGCAAAACCTTTTTTGGCGCGATGATGCTTCAGGTATTTGTTCTCGAATTATTGGCATATTTGAATTTGGCGTATTTCGGAACCAGTTGGTGGTCCATCATATTATCAGTTATACTGTATTCGATATCTCAAGTGAGCAAGTCTATGTCTTTTATAATTCGTCTCTGCAACTTCTTGATCTGTAGATTTATTGGCCGTCTAAATTCAGACAGTTACCTCACATTTTTATCCTAAGATAAACCGGGTGTTAACAAAATGTAACAAAAACCGCTTTGTCACCTTGAACAATAAATACCTCTCTGAGTGTTCCTCTAAGAATAGTTTCGTAGGTAGTCAAAACTATGTTACACCTCCTGGTTAAATTAAATATACATATGTTTTAGAAACACCAAAATGTATTGATGAAGCACATAATTCACGTTGAATTTTTAATTAACACAGCAATAAACAACGCCAAATTATGAGTAAGAATTAGCAATTGCTGCTTTTGGTTCCTTCTTCATTAAAAATGTCAAAACATCCTGTCCGGCCGCTGTTCAGTGGCCTACGTTTGAAGTTGTATCAAATTTTTTAACCTCAATACGAAAATTATTTCCTCCAAATTAAGGTTTAAGTAAAAATCCGCTTAGTATGATCCTATACATGGACATGATAGTACTTTTACATAATTACAAAACCAAGGTGCTACAAACAGTCCATATCATAGTTACTACCACAAACGATTAATCGAGGATTAGAAATAATATCACATATGAATCAATTGGTCTTTAAACCTGCTTGTCGAATTCTCTCGATATTCAACTCTTCAAGTGATCCTTTTAAAATGACCACTGCCAACTCTTATGAAGTTTCGTTCAAACTTATTTCCTGGAACTCAGGCCCTTGTAAATCACAAAACACTTCATATTCATGTGACATATTTCAACCTGGATAAAATGACCACCAGAATGCAACCACTTATTAAGTAACACTTCTAAAACTATTCTGATCCTTTCAGTTTAATGCCATTGTCAGTAAACTTGACAACTGAAGGTATTAACTCGTAAAATGCTCAGCTCTATGAGACAAAATTCTTTAAAAGACTTAAAAAGACTGTCAAATTAAGCTTCATATCGAACCGCGGATATTATTTCAAAGCGGTTGCAGAGATGCATGTAGAAAAGTCCTTCATGTGATGTTATTACATTCGCAAGTCGGACACATTATAAACAGCCTCAAAAACCTCAAACCTCCACAACCGATAGCTTTTGTTGAGCTACAAGCTTTATGTTTTGTTAGTAACCTCAGCTCAGATGCAAAAGCTGTCTCTTCTGTCTCATGATGGGATACCAGTACCGATTGTTAGTTTATTCCATTTCTAGATGTATTTCTATTCTGAATCTCCTTCGTACCTTCTATAATCCTGCGAAACAAGTTTTCTGTAAAAGACTTTAGATTCCCCAGTATGCTGAAAATTGCTTGCTTATGCCTGTTAGTCACTTAGCAATCACGTAGAACTTTATACATACGTACATCAGTCCAAGTTGCCATACCACATTTTCACACAGATGGAATTGTTGATTCAGTCAGTCAGTTACAACGTAGAACTTCGTACATTAGTGCATAAGTTCGGGTTTCCATAACCCATCAGCACAGAGACGCAACTGTCAGTTCAAATCCCATAGTGGCAAGGAGAGTATAAGTACTAGCAGTAACGGAGAAGATTAGGGTTCCAAGATATGTTTCGAGAAGTATAATTCAGCGAGATAACTTTGGAAAGGAAAAGACAAAGATGATGACGAATTCAGAAAGTTAGAATTTGAGAGAACACAAAGAGTGGATGCACCTGCGCCATTACAAACAATTTTGAGCCATGTCGTTCAAGGTCTCTAACCATTGGTTACGATTGTCTCGCGGACACCAACCAGGTAGCCTACATCTACCAACATGACTCAGTCCACTTGTCAGTGACTCCATGGATTTGTGTCGTGTTTTAGTTTGGCCATCCCTAGCTTTCTTCCAACCTACTCCTACACCACAAAACATAGCTCGTCGAGGTAGTCGGTGGTTGGGCATCCGTAACACATGCCTCAACCACCTCAACTGATGAAGTTTCAATGCTTCATCTATTGCTCTGTCATCTCTACCCTGGTACTCGTTTCCTAACGACAGCATTGCTTACTCGGTTTTCCCAAGGTACACGAACAACGCTTCGGAGACACCTATGATCGAATACTAATAACCTACGAATGTCCTCTACTCTCACGGGCCATGTTTCACATCCATACAGTAGAACGGAGCGAACTGCTGCGCCCTAAGTGTGCAAGTTGGTAAAAGCCAATCGAGCTTTCTGTATCCGTGATGAGATTGCGTCAGTCACCAGGCAATCAGCACTGATGAGACTCCTCAGGTAAATGAAGCGGTCAATACGTTCGACTACTTCACTGCCTATCACTAATTCAGGTGCTGATGCAATCCACTCTTGAAGCAACATCTTACATTTCGAGGAGAAAAACCGCATCCCGAACATGCTTGCATTATTGCTTAGGGTAGTCAGAAGATTGCATTTTTGTCAGCGTCTTCACCGAATAGGACTATGTCATCAGCATATTCTGAGTCAGCAAGCATGTCTCCTGGTAAAAGGTCCACTCCAGAACCGTCGAAAGATGATAATATTAACTCTAAAGGCATATCTACGACAAAGTTAAACAAGAATGGAGAAAGTGGACAACCCTGACGGACACCGACTAAAGTAATGAATTCTGATGACAGTTCGTCATAAGCTCGAGTACAGAGCTTGTATAAGGTTAATGTACTTCTTTGGTACACCTTTCAATGACAGACACTGCCACAGAACCTCACGATCCACTGAGTCAAATGCCGTCTTAAGGTCCAGAAACACGACTATTGTCGGACGTCTAAATGTATGTCTGTGTTCCAGGACCTGTCGTAGTGCGAATATGTGGTCTACACAGCCACGTCCAGATCGAAAACCAGCCTGGTTTTCTCTGGTCTGCTCTTCACGAGTACTAGTTAGGCGTCTAAGTATAATCGTGGCTAACAATTTTGAGACTATATTAGTTAGACTGACTCCCCAGTGACTGTTACAAGATGACTTTTGTCCTTTCTTATAAATTGGGATAATCAGGGATTGTGTCCAGTTCCCAGATTCTAACTAAGATCTCAGTCAATGTAACTACTAAAACTGGACCACCATCCTTAAAAATCTCAGGGGTCAATCTATCAGGATCCTCTGCCCGCCCTCGCTTCAGATTTCCTATAGCTCTCTCAATTTCATAAGGAGTCAGACAACTCACATCGACTCGCCATCCAGGATGACTGGAGATCGTGAGTAACCGAAGTTCGTCTGAAGTCCAATTGAACTGATCCCTGAAGTGTTCTGACCATCGATCCAATATTCTGGATTGAGAATGAATAATAAACCCATCCTATTCTGAGATAGTCTCACTTACATTCGGCTTCCTAATACCGGTTTGCTTGGTGAGTCTGAACAGTTATCTACTGTTGCCTCTCGCCGCTGCCTTTTCCATCTCTCTCGCTTTCGCTACCCACCACTGTTCATGATCATTGCGTAGGCACTTTATCAGATTTCACATAAGCTGATTCCGCTCCTCATCGTACTCAAAGCCAGGCGGGATGAATTTCCGAACATCTATCAGTTCGACAGATAATACTCAGACCCACGGCTTCTCTCCCTTACCTTACTAACAGATACCACTGCTGTTTCCACAGCTCTTTGGATATCACTCCAAGCTGCCTCAGGGTGGATATCACTTACTACATGGCTGCCTTACTTTTTTCTAGTTGTTCCTGAAATATATTCTTAGCTTTATTATCATTAAGTAGAACCCTAGTAGATTTCCTTGCGGTGTCTTTCTTAAGTCCAGGAAATTCGAGCCTCTGCATCGGTGGCTAATAGCAATGTGATCTAGTTGGGTCAAGCGTTTGGGCTAATTTGGGGGTCGACAGGTAAAGAGATGTTTTCCCTAAACCAAAAGTTAGTATTTTCTAGAAATAGGCGGTTATTTGAGCACAGCTGCTGCAGACGGTCGCTATTATCTGATCTTTGGGCCACAACCTCATAAGATCCACTCAGGTGTCTTTCCTTCTCACTTATTCTACCCACTTGAGCATTAAAGTCACTAACCACTATTACTACATCAAACCGCTTACTTTTTGAAGGAGGTTAGAAAGGTTTCTGCAAAACTCATCTTTTATGTCGTCCGAGCTGCAGTCAACTGGAGAGTAGGCAGGAAATACAAAGTGGCAACAGTGAGTTTCCCTGTCTTTACGAGTCCTTACTGACCCGTTTAGTCGGACAACATATTAGTGACTGTCTATCGAGACCCAGTCTGAGAGAGATAGTTCTGCCCTACGACTTAATACTATACCGATACCCATGGGAAGCAGCACGGCTTCCAGATTGCCGAAGAGTAAACCGAGCTGATTCTCTATCTGAACAAGGTGAAATCAAATTAGTGATTTTACTAGGATCCTGTAAGGGTTTTTGAGACGTAGCATACATCGGCGGTGTGAGGTTCTATAGCCCTAGCTAAGGATGCTCGTTGTCCTATTTGACACAAGGTTCGAACGTAGTAAGCCCCAACATGTTGTTCAGAGAGCAGTTTCAGGAGATCAGGAATAATGTTCCGTGTACTCAAATTGTGTGTGTCAGCGGTGAGAGGTGATAAAGCAATGAAAGTGTTGGTGAGGGAGATAAGAGATTTATCAAAGGTTGAAAGAAGGATTCAATTGTTACCGATTTGGTCTCTTGTGCTTTAACGGGTATGAAGGCTGAATTCATTTCCCGGCTGCCCACATCTTGAGTGTTTGTTGAACGACCTGAAAAAGAAATTTAATTACTGTCGGTCTTAGAGACGTGGGGGATTGATTACGGAGCCAGAAGCGCAACTGCTGGAGGCGGATTGCGCACGGCCTCTTTATAATAGCTGACTAAATGACATGTTAGTTAGTTAAACCAACCTAAACTATCTATTAGTTCAGCATAATCCTTTCTCTGATGTTAGGCTTTCCTATATCCAAGGTTTATAAGATCATTTAATACCGCATTTTTTTCACTATATCACAGAAATTTATCCGCATGTAGCCAAAAACTTGAACAGGTCTTCGTTATATCAAGAATCCTACTTAAAACAATATATTTTGCAGTTTGTGTGGTCAGTCGTCGTAAAAATAGGTGTCTATTTGAATTCGTTTATACTTCGTAATCTTTAGATGATGTATATATCATCCTGTAATTATTAATACTACACAAACTCGAAAATCAAAAGTCAGTATTGGATTCAGTTAAAAGTTTAAGTAAACGAGAAATCAGATTTGTTCAAGTTCATACGATGCACACCGAAAATAACAGATTCACTATTTCTAAAAGCTTTGCGATTCACACATCATTTTTGAAACCCATAATTTAGAAAAGATTTTCAAAACGGAATGTTTCGATCCACTATAATTCTTGTAATGTGATAGCAAGAGTTAGAAGATCATACTGTACACCTAAAAATTTATTTATCTTTGAAATTATTATTCTTTGTTTTAGTATATTACAAAACACTATCTGCATTAGCTTTTATGTTCACAACTTATTTACACAGTACGTTTGTAGTACTACATAGTCAATAAAAAACTGCTCTGTTATGGTGAATTTAATATATATCCTATGAAAACAAGAAAAACCACGAATTCAATTTAAAAACAAGTTGTTAAACAGTTCTATTTTTAACTAGGCCATGCATTCTGAATGAATACATTTATCCAAAAAGTGGCATTAACATTATAATTGTTGGTTAGTTAATAAATCATTAACTTTAAATGCAATTGTAGAGCTTAAGTAAATAATATCGTTGGAAAGAAGATTTTCTTGAGTCACGTGGCTCCACCTGACAAGGTCTTCAAAATCATCTATACTATCACATTTTGGTTCAGTAGAAGAGCGATTCGGTAACTTTTGTATTGTAGTTGTACTGATGCTGTCCAAAAAACCACAAAATGCACTTATACAATCGGCATCTCATGCAGCCAGGTCCAGAAAAACCTCCTTGAAAACAAAGAAGGAAAGAATTACGATGAATATCATTCAGAGCTATGTGCAAACCGACGATATCAATGAGCGACTGCACTAACTTGTCTAGAAGTGCCCGACAGAGGGTTTGACCATTCTAATGGCAGACATCAGGAGACGATATGGACCGAGGAAAAGGAACGAAAACAGTGAGAAATTTGCAAATCTAGATGCCTTCAAAAAATGGTCATAGGTGGCACCATATTCCTACACATACGCTTACAAAAAGCGACATCGATTTCGCCGAATCACACTACACAGAACCTAATCGACCACATCTGCATCAATAAAAAATCTAGGACCATGAAGGATGTAAGAACGAAGAGAAGAACCAACATTCCTTCTGATCATCACTTTGTCGTGAACAGGATGAAACTGAAACCAAAGAAGCACCAGACAATGATGCGGACAACACCACAAAATTTTAAGACAGGATACTGACAAAATCAACGAATTCAAGATAGCCCTCAGCATAGGTTCAAGGCCTTTCACGAACTACCCAGTGGAGAGGAAACTACCGTGGAGAAAAACTGGAAAAGGATCAAGGAGTCAATTACTTCAACATGTCATGTGGTTTTGGACCACAAGAAGCAACATCACGAAGAATGGATCTCTGATGATACACTAGATAAGATTCAAAAAATACCAGACAACTTCAGCAACAACGTGCTGTGAAAGAGAACTAACCAGATTCCAGAGGAGGAATTAACTCTGGAACCAGCATTGGAGGTGGATAGGAAACACAGTGAGGAAAGCACTCAACTTCATCACAAGACAAGCCCTTGCTTGAAGTCCTCAAGGCCAAGGGAAATGAGGAAGACCAAAGTACACATCACCCCGGAAATAAGTGACATAAAAATGTTTAGCGATTTGGTAGACTGGGAAAGAAGACCCAGACAGAATAGTTGGAGAGTGCTGATCGGCAGCTTATTCTCAATTGCGCGTAACAGGCCTAAATAAATATGCAAGACTATTGACAGCCATTACAAATGTGATTCTTGAACAGTAGAAAGAACGTATTTACCATGCTGAAAAATAGGTACTCTCGCATTATAACCTAATTTTGCTGTTACCAAAAGAAGTGAGTTAAGGTCATAAATTCACTCGAATCGAATAGTTAGTCTTACTGATTATGGTTGTAAGGTACACCATTACCATCAAGTCATTAAACGTTACGATTCACAATAATTATACTATTCGAGTTATGTCTTAAGACATCTGATCTTATAAATTATTCCAATTTCTTATCTTGGCACTAAATGCAATCTAAACAAATCAAACAGATACTGAATAATAAACCTTTATCTACAGTAGACATAAATTTCTTTAAAGGTTCTTAGATGTTAACTTCTTCCTATCGTTTGCGTTATCTCATATATCTGAGGAGAAGCAACACTGTTAAATTCAGTCCACCTGTTACCAATTAGCTAGATAAACCCAAACATCTAATATTTACAAAAGCTGAGAGCTGAACTATATTGCTTTTTTGCTAAACATTCTAATACTTTGGACGAAATGTGTATCCTGGACCTTACTGCTAGTTATATATTAAGCAAACTGAGACTTATGATGTAACACTATATCAAGATAACTATGATTAAGATGAACATATAGTAACAGAGAATGATAAGTTCTAATGTTGAATATCATAGACAAAAATTGTAACCATGTACTAATAATAATTATGTTAGTTGTATGCAGAAATTTTTTCCTTAAAATACAGTTAGACGAATGTTTCAATTATAAGCTTCACAGAAAGCTTTAATAATTGAAAGACATGGTAATTTTACCGCATCCTAAATCAGTCTCTCGAGATTGTGGTGGCTCTAAACATATGAACCATAGGCGTTGAAACCAGTAACGCCGAATACACAATCAAAAAATAATGATTCTCAATCTTATGTCCGACTACATAATTATATTTTCCAATTCGCAGGTGGATATTTGAATTTGATGGTCTTAATAGACTTCAAAGGTGATCGTATAACACATTACGTTGGTAAATTATAACAAATTTTAAAACAATTTTTCAGACAAACAGGTATTATATGTACATATAAAATTATCTTACTTATAAGATATTAAAGACTATCTTTAAAGTGCGTTTATGTCCATAAAAGTTTTGAAAAACTCCACTAAGTGAACAAACTATTTTTGCTACCTTTTCTTCAGGGTCAAGCAAGTTGGTTACAACACGATTTAGGACATCTATCAGTATTTGGGAGTACTCGAATAAATCACATTTTCCATGAGATTATACTTGGTTTAACCAAGGGAGCTTCTTGTCATTGGTGGAATCATATGCATTCTCAACATCACGCTAAACCGAATGTGGTAAGTTATGTTTTGACCAAAACTTTAGCTAAGTTATCAAATGTTTTTGTATACAACAAAAATAATCATCCACTGAGCTTAAACTATGTCACTAACTCACAGTGGACTTCTGAATTATTGATGACTCGATCGATTTGTGAAACCTCAAGTAGCTCATCTTTGACTATGTATCGGTAAAATAAATTGTTATAATACACTGAATTAAACTGTTAAATAATCAACAGATGACTGTCCCGGTTAATATCTAGTAAATTTGGTTAACTGTAAATAATTTATTGTATCCATTTTGTCACCAGTATTTAAAAATACTAGAAAGCTACGTTTTGTGTTGATTGTCATAATTACGAGAATACCTCCGTCAGGTAAATTAATGGTTTTGCTATTTTGCATATATTTTTTTCTGTTAAAAATATAAACACAGATTGATAAAGATCCGGATACACGACTGGAACCAATTTTTGTTGTTGGTGACATTCTACCCAGGAGAGCAGCTAGTTCTGAAAGCAAATGGGCCTGGCATCTTCCTTATGAACATCAGCATAAATATTTTTTCCTAAGTAAGTCATAAACTGTCCTACATATATTTAACCGATATCCATAAACTCATTCTATGCTCTTCCCAATATTATCAATGATTTCTAATTAATTTTAGCTGCTATTTAAATTCTCTAAGGGTGTTGTTTAATGCCTCACTGAATAACCTGCACTAGGAATTTAGTTTCATTTAAATCTGTGATAACTATATTGTGATGATTACCATGCTATTTTTCAGGAAATTTCTGCCGACAGCATATCTTATTTAGAAAACCTTAATTTCCACAATTGGGTTAACAATAATGAATCTTGAGTGAAAAGCGCTTCCAAAGTTACCTTCAGTTTATACTAACATAACATTTAGTTTGTCTGCAACATTAGTTCTTGTTTGGATTCATTCATCTCCAAAACTGTTCGCGCTCGAAAAATTCGTTAGCATTTTACTCAATTTATTACAAACACCCTAACCACTTCATACCAATTAAGTAGAGGGATTAAAACGTACAGTTTTGATTCATTTCCTGGGATCGACTGATTTATTTCCAAAGCTGTATGTATTGGAGCCAAACAGAAACAAACCTGCATGCATCACAATAACTGTCATTTAAAAAACAAAGGTTCAGTATAACTGTCTAGCCTTGTTTTTATTGATTTCCCCCCAAACAAATTTAAATGCTTGAAATGTCATGGGTGTCAGTGTCTCCAATTTAAAGCATTTCTTGAAAAGCAACACTTCAAAAATTGATTAATTTTGTATAAAGCAGGTCGCTCACTTAGACTAAGTATGATTAATTGCTTACACGAGTGATAACCACCTGTGTTTAAATACCTACTAAAGAGTACGGTTTTCAGCACTAGAACTATGTAAAAATTGACTGCAACACATAGCACTAGACAACATTGTTGTAATAATTACAATTATTTGATTCCTAAGTGAGGCCCAGGGAAGTTATATCTGAGAAAACCAATCAGTTTGTGAGCTAGATGTAGATTTATTGGTTAAAAACTAACACTTCAGTTTTCTCAACCAAACCCCCTTTTATTACGAAATGGTGTGTGGGAGATAAAGCCATCTATCTACATTGGCTACTAAGATCATTTTCATAAACGTTTTTCAATTCCACAGCTTTGATAGTTAGTCATTAGGAAATTTTTTTGAGTTTTTTGTCTGGGTCCAATTCATCGTCATTGTAGGAGAGATCAACTCCGTACTTCCTTTCACTTAAGGAATACTAAGTCTTGAGTGGAAAAGTACCTTAAATATTAAGTTTTATTCATATCTAAATAAGCCATCAAATGATCTATATTGATGCGTGTCTCATATTGTATAAGCCACTCATTTTAGCTCTGAAATATTGTTGATAGGGGATTCTTATATTGCATGAATCATATTACGAATCATTAGTGACAGTAAATGCTCACTATTTACAAGATGATTTAATAAAAAAGTTCTGGAGATTATTATTTACTCTTTGCCATCCATGGCGAATACGATATGGTAACATTTTCTCAAGCATAACTATGTATATAGCGGATTGCTGTCCAAAAAGCATAAACTGTAAACTTTGAGAGGCAAATATTATGCATATGATTGTTTTTACGAAACCCACTACAATTTATTCGAATATTTTCGCTACAGCATTTTGAGGAGAAACAAAATCTACACAGACAGACACTTACAGAACGATAGTTTATGTTTCCATTTGTTTTCCGTAAGAATATTTTGCAAAAATTTAAACCCAATATCATTAACGCTCTCTTTGTTTCGGGGCATATAATTTGTCAATATTTCTGTAAAGTAGTTTGCTTCCCTAACAGCTCATGAGTATGTAACAATGAGAAAATTATCTTCCTCATTTTTCTATTGCCTTCCAATCCCAATAAACACAACTCGAAAAAACTTCTTTCTTTTTACATTTTCAGCACAGTGTTACTTTCTGCTTAATATTTACTGCTAGTACTATCATAATTATCAATGAAACAATCAAAGATAGTTTTCTATGTGATTAACCATTCTTGAAATATTCAGGAAATAAATTTCAATACCATAGTACAGTAGATTATGACTCCCATGTTAAACCAATGCCTTATTTTTAAAGGTAGTTCCATATATCTAGTGATTTCTGTGGGCATTAATTAAATTACAAAGGTCATTGTCAATTAAACGAGTGACCTAAACTAAAATTGAATAAAAAGAAATTACAGTAAATTTCCACAACGTAGACTGACTGTCCGGTGCTCGTTAACAAAATTAATAGCTATTAGAGTTACACAATTCAGAATCACACTGGATTGGAAAACTGAGTCGAAACAAATGTATCCAAAACAATTCCATTAAGTTAAGATAAAGGATTATTGTATTATCATTGATCCTGCAAGGTCTTTCTCTAAATTGAGTAATGTCATAAGTTTCGTTTCCTGGAAATGTATTATCGCTTACTAAATAATAAACGAGTTAGCCCAAAAAATCTTGAGGCACTCATTCTAGTTTTTTTTTCATTTTCATTATCGTTTCGTGTTCATAATACTAACAGTTGTTTTAACAACAAAAAGCCTTACGCATGGTATTCGATTTCAATATCAGTACGAATCATCATTTTATTAACAAATTTATCTTTAAAAACCGAATTCAACAGTTGCAACACGCTCAACTACTTGTTTATGCGATATTCAATAACTGGACATTTGCTATGAATTATACGGAAGTTGAATATAGGTCAATGCCGACTGACTATTTAAAGTTCAATAGAATGCACAGCTTGTCTAATACGTAACTTAATTCTAACTATACACTTACAATGTTTTAATCTATCGTTGGATTATAAAACCATTTCTACACTGTAATAAGATTTAGTACATAATTCGAGTATTGTTAAATTAATCAGACTAAAGTTTAAAAGTTACATTAACATTCCTTAATTTATAAACACATCAGAATTAGATATTTTTTCGATAATCACAACAAGATTATTACACAGGTATTTGTATGCTTTACCATTGTAAAACTGTGTTTTACTCGCAATAACTGTGATTATTACCGCTATTCAATAAAGTTGTAGTTTTAATAAATGAAGCCATTACATTAGCTTAGCGTACGAATTGTTTTCCGTACGTATACTAAACTTTGCAGATCATTAATAATAATAATCAATTTAATCTTACAAGATTTTACAAGCAAAGGCAATGGTCAGAAATGAATTCAATAAATCTATTAAATTATTTAAATCACCTTTTATGTTTGGAAAGTATTTTGTCAAATGTCTATGAATCATATCTAATTTGCATAATATTATCATTCAACCAAAAAAAAACCATACAATTCAAATTCAAATAATCTATTAAGTAAAATAAAAAACCAAAGAATGTTGCCAGCTTTTGGTTATATATCAAATAGATTCATTGCGAAAAGGTATTTAAATATTCAATTTTATGAAGAAAAAAAAACAGTTTTCTTCATGTCTACTCGTAATCTACGCAAATGTACAATACATTTATAACAACGCTCATAAGATAGATTAGACTAATGTTATATTTCTAAGCTCTAGTTTCGCTGAAAGGGTTACTGATTTTTATTATCTGGTGAACAGTCAGTGATAAAAAAGTATCTCAAATGAAAAATTATAATATTAAATCACAAATGAATAAATGTTAAATTTTAGATAAGTAAGCTATAAACAATAAAACCACGTTGAACAAGTCTAGCTAGTAATCTTTCAGATTAACTCAATGAATATAACAAAAACCTTCTAATTTAGTATTTGAAGTCCTAAAAAAATCCTTCTACAATGGAGTTCGATTACGTTTGATATCGAATCTACAACTTTGTAAATCCATTCCTCATACATATACAATGTAGATCCACACTCTCACCGTACCAAATCATACGAGAATAAGTCCTTCACTGTGGATTTCGCGTTAGACTATACCGTAAAATTATAGCCTATGAAGGATGACTAACGGGTTATTCTTTTCTTTCAGTTGGTCCACCTCTATTATTTCCTGTTTATTTCCAAATTATGTCCTTCCGTCATATGTGGATTCACAGAAGAACAGAGGTAAGCAGATTGGCAGTTTACAATTACATGTAGTTGTTTTTCAATCGATTACCATTTTCCAATATATTCTTTTATTAAATCTCAGACAAACTGATAAGCTAAACATCCTAAAATGTACAGCCTCAGGATCCAGTTCGTGAGGCCTAATGCTGATATCTCCTTAGAAGAAGAATACATTATGATCTGATAGCATAACTAGCCTACTCGAAAATACCTCAACTAGTCTCACCATTTTAATGTTCACTTCAGGAACCGACGAAAGCTAAATTAACAAAGATTAACACCTGAGGAACAAAAAACTAAAATCTAATATATTAACTTTATGAGAATTATTTTGTTTTTATTGTTAATTATTTTATACTTCTTAAGTAACCATGGCCAAATAAAAAGTTCACGAAACCATGTTCATAAATGATAAATCATCTCACTCTGAACAGAATATCAAATAACCTTATATTTTTTAAGACTACCTGTCTTACTAACCTAAATAAAAATAATGTTAACCTTGCTAGTTGTTAGCTTCCAATTAATAACAAAAATAACTTCTCGTCTTAGTGGTCTCATTACTTAAAAATTATTCCAACATGACCTAAAATCTAGTGACAACTACAATGAAAGATTAGAATAAGTGAAAAAAAACACTGCATATTGAAGTCCACATGAACCAACAAAAAATATACAAAACACCATCTGTTATTGTTATTCAGTCACCTTGCAACATATACGTAAAGCCTACACACAAAGCACTAAAAAATGACTTAAAAACCCTGCAAACTGTTTCTTATTAGAATGTACTTGGAGTTTATCGTACGATAAGGTCAATATCAAACTCACAGCCACATTTTCAGATTCTATCTCAACAACATTACCATCAGAATACAAGGATTTTATTGTCCCTCAGATATATAAATATGATTTCAGGATTAGTTACTGGATAACTTACGCCTGCTACCCACAATGGAGCATAGTTCGCCGACCAGTGTTCTCCAACCTACTCTGTTCTGGGTTTCCGTTCCCAGTTCTGTCCAGTTTTTCTTCATTTTTCTCATGTCTTTCTCTATTTCTCGTAGTAATGTGTTCCTTGGCCTTCCACTCTTCCTTTCACCTTGAGAGTTCCAAGAAAGGGCTTGTCTTGTGACTCGGTTGGGTGCATTCCAAAGTGTGTACTATCCATTTCCACCACTTCTTCCTGATTTCCTCCTCCACTGGAATCTGGTTTGTCCTCTCCCACAGTCAGTTGTTGCTGATCGTGTCTGGCCAACGAATCCGAAGTATTTTGCGTAGACAACTGTTAACGAATACCTTTATCTTCTGGATGATGGCTTTGGTAGTTCTCCAAGTTTCCGCTCCATACAATAGAACTGTCTTGACATTTGTATTGAAAATCCTGATTTCGGTGTTCGTTGATAGTTGTTTTGTTGCCTAGATGTTGATCGGTTGTAGAAATGCAGCCCTTGCTTTGCTAATCCGCGCCCTCACATCTGCATCGGATCCATCTTGGTTGTCTATGATGCTGCACAGATATGTAAAGGCTTAGACGTCCTCCAAGGCATCTCCATCAAGGGTGATTTGATCGTTGAATGTTTTGTTGTATCGCAGAATCCTGATTGTCCCTTTATGTATGTTGAGACCTGCTGCTGAGGCTACTGCTACACTGGTCGTCTTCTCTTGCATTTGTTGTTGCGTGTGCGATAGAAGAGCCAGGTCATCTACGAAGTCCAGATCGTCCAGCTGCATCCTGGTTGTCCATTGTATCCCATACTTCCCTCCAGATGCTGACGTCTTCATATTCCAGTCGATCACCAGGAGAAAGAGAAGGGATGAGAGTAAGCTAACTTGCCTGACACCGGTTTCACCTCGAACGAGTCCGTCAGCTGATCTCCGTTCACAATTTCGCAGTTGAATCCATCATAAGAATTCCGTATGATGTTGATTATCTTGTCAGGCACTCCGTAGTGTCGAAGAAGAAGTGTTGTCCTGTCCACATTGTCAAATGCTTTCTCGTAGTCAATAAAGTTAATGTAAAATAGTGAGTTGCATTCAATTGGTTGTTCCAAAATGATGCGTGATGTTGCGATTTGGTCGGTACACCATCGATCCTCACGAAATCCAGCCTGTTCATCTCGGATTTGGGCGTCTACCGAGTTAGTTACTGTATCCCTCAATGGAAATATACATGTCTTAGTAGTTTCACCATGTGAGGTTTATTCATAGTGTACAAAGTAACACTAAAACAACCTAAGAGATGAAACACTAGAAATGGATCTCGTTATACAGGGCAGAAATCCATGCAGTTACTGACAAGCGGACTGAGTCATTTCGGTGTGTTTAGACTACTTGGTTGGGGTCCGCGAGACCATAGTAACCGACGGTTAGAGACCTTGAACGACATGGCTCAAAACAGTTTGCGATTGAGAAGTTGCTTTCATTCTGTGTCTTCTCTCAGATTCTAATCTTCTGCATTCTTCATCACCTTTATCTATTTCTTTTTAAGTCCTTTTCACTAGATTATACTCCTTGAAAAATATCTTCGAACCCTAATCTTTTCGATTACAGCTTATACTTTTATTACCTCTACTACTGTGGGGTTTGAATTGACGATTGCTTCTCTGTGCCAATATGGTATGGCTACTGGAACTGATGTACGTACGAACAAAGTTTTACGTTGTAACTGACTGACTGACAGACTGACTGAAAAGATTTGCCGATAAAACTTCTATTACTTGCAGAAAGTTGAATTTTACAATCCAAGACTAAATACATGAAATGCCAAATCCCACTTATAACTGATTAACTTCAACATTTACACTTTAAGTCCGAGAAGTATCAAACAGACAAATTTAAAATTACTATTACTGAGTAGGTTTCTACTCAAATAACGTAACTGCATTTTTTTCTGTTTTTTACTATAACTTACAGTACTTGATGCTTAGACTTTCAAGATAATTTTCAGATTTTTTATTTGATTTTACTTAGGATTTTCTGTACGTCATGGGATTTTTTGTAAAATTACTCACTCTTTATTATTCCTTACTTGGATTTTGGGGAAGTTTGGCCTATTTTTTTGTTGTGAGGTAAGTGATCATTGTTAGCATTATTAAACTTAGAATTGTTTTTATATGAATCAGTTTTCGCTTTATTATAAACCTGAAGGAATAATAATCAAAATTTTGAGTAACAAGAACCGGTTATCAAATAGAAGTGTATTCGAAATAAGATAGAACCCATGAATTCTAAAATAGCATTCAGAAAAATCCCTATATATTTTAATACGCATTCAAAATTCTTTATCACCAGTTCTTTAATAAGTGAAAAACTATAACATTAACCTTGAAAAAATTTTAGACAATCTATTCTGTTACCATATCATATCATGAAACATTTTGCCTAACACAATCATACCTTGTATTCAATCTCGGAATTTCATTCCTCTTAAGGATAATCCTGAATATACTGGGAAACAGAATACATGATCAATATTACTATAATCTGACCTAAGTGTACATAAATGAGCATACTAGTTGCGTGATACTATCTTCTAAATTTCAGTTATAAGTTCAAAACAGATAAATATCCGACTTGAACTAAATTAATAGATAAAACACTAGGGAGCCAGAATTAAATGTTAGCTAGTGAAAGATAGTCGACAGAAAATCTCTTTCATGCTATTTGGTACTCATAATTCTGAATGAACTACATCTGTCTAGAGGATAATCTACTGAACTCCTTTATTGTGTTTTGAAATTGAACTAAAGCGTTGTTTAGAAAGTCGAAGACAGCTAGAAAGTGTGATAGATTAATCCACATTTGACTAGATCTTCAGCTTCCTTAAAATATGGTTACAGTTATCCTTCATAAATTTATGCGAAATTCATCTCATCCATCGAGTGTTATTATAGTAATACATTGAATTATTAGTCCACTGGGTCTCTAACTCATACTCCAAGCAAAAATAACTGCTTTTCTTGTTGGAAAATGAAATAAGAGAAATCATATGATAAGAATAAACCACAGAATGTAAACTCCGGTATTCAAAAGAAAATTAGCAACGAAGAATACTACATTAACATATCAGGTTTTACTTTTTTCAGGGACACCTTACTATTTATAAGAAACAACTAAAATAGGATGATAATTTCTTACATTTCTTGTGAGTTATTTTTGACACTGTCTTGATTCACTGAGCTGAGTGATTTCTAATAACCCATTAGTGAACTGTAGATAACTCTTTCTATTTCAACTCCACACAACTATTTTAGCCAGTAATTATAAACAGCTAACTTATCCTACACTGTCTTATTGAATGCAATTGTTGCAATTTTTGTGTGCACTGGTCATGTAACTTTACACATGAAACTAAAAATGACACCTTTTCAGTTAGTCCCGAGAAACTGATTTTCAATAAGAAATTCAAACGATTTCGACGTAAAAAAGTAAAATTGTGACAAAATATGGCTAACCAAAGTGCCACTTCGGAGTATAAATAAACGAATTAATAACATAATGGAATAACTCATATGAATTATCACAGATTTTTTTTACTTTTATATAGTTACTTATGAATAAAACTTGACCGTAACTGGTTATGTGATAAAGAATAAACTATTATGATTTCAGCATAAACCCTTAATACGAATAGATTTTGTAAATAGAGTTTGTGTGCAGATTTTAAGCATTTGGTCGTTTTTTCAAAATAGTCCTATGCTTATATATATAATGGATTTTCAGTCAACGACATCTCCTTCCTAAACTGGCTAGCGTAGTATTAGGTTAGAGGAAGGTTTAGAGTGACCGAAATAAAACACTTTGTAAGTTTCTACTTTATCGTTTTAAACACCATACTATTGTTTTACAATATTATATTTGTAAATTGTTTAAAATGAATTAACACTACAAAAACACATTGGTAAACTGCCGCCAGAAGAACAAATAACAATTGGCAAGTATAATTTGATTGTGGTTAGACTAAACAACTAATTCCTTAATTGGGCTTAAAATATTTTTACAAAGGTAATAAATTTTACTAATTGATCACCTCACTTCCTAGAATAAAACTAGTGTGAAACATTTAAGGTCAATTGAATTTAATCATAGCTTCAACTTAAACTAATTTAATAGTTTTCACTTATTAATGTGAAAAATATTATCGATTATTTAAATGACAGAATGTCATAATAAATGGTTTTGTTATGTTTGTTTAACTTGCTTACTAAAAATATGAAGTTTCTGTCAATGTATCATATGTTTATCTCTGGAGTATAACCTAGATATCGTCTCATATTCCGTTTATGACATTTCAATACATAAATTACTCATTTCCAAATTCGATGCATCTGATTTACTGATTTATTCACTTTTTATATAAATAACACTACTGTCAAGAATAGTGCACACATAATTTTCGTAATGGCTATAAGTTGTCCAATACATCTCCCTTTTTACTAGTTAATAACTTGCAGTCAGGTGATAGTAATCCTTCTGAAATTGAACGTGAATGACATCTAGTTAATCATTCCAGATATCGCTTTTAGATGGATCTCTTTCCCATGAATTTTAATTTTCAGAGTCATAGAAAGTCACTGGTTTACTTGGGTTAGTCAGTCAAACCATTTGCCAATGCCCGTCGATTATGATAGAGCTGAACCATGGTTTCGCTTACAGCTGAATGGAACATGCAATGTTGAAAACTCGTTATTCAATGACTGGTTTACAGGACATTTGAATTTCCAGATAGAGCATCAGTAAGTTAGACTTTGAAACCGTCACTCTTTTCAATCTTTGGATTTGGTTTATATTTATTTCTTATGCTTTAATTCATGTTCTTAAAATTATTGATTTTTACAGGCTCAGGTACTTTATAAAAGGTACATGTGTATTTAACTGATAATCACTCTGGCTTAATAATATGCATGTATTCAAGTGCAAACTGATAATATCAGTGTTTCACACTTTAAGCAAAGGACATGAACTTTGTTTTCTCGTTTTAAATCGAACTAACCTCTTAGATACTAGTGATTTTAAAATTAAACTATTTCGCTTAAAACAGAGTAGTAAGTTTACGTGTAACTTGTATGAAATCGATGAAGACTGAATATCGGACTTTACTTATCTTGCTAAATTTCAATTGATATTATTTAGAGTCTTACAATGATTCCACTACTTATCAAGAAAGCCTGTGATAAAATGACTAAATGGAAGCAATCCACACAAAATGTACGTATACCAACAAAGATTGATTAAAATTTAGTCAAATATATCAACAACAAAATAGTTCAAACTCTATCTAACAATGAGATAGCTTAAATCACTTAGTGTCCTGTGAACCTGTTTCGTAAGAAAGCACTTGGATGGGCTTTTTGGATTAAAAACCTGTTAGAATACTCCAAAAACGACACAGTAAATCTACATATATGTATATCATTATCAGGTTTGTACTCACCTTAAATTGTGAGTCAAAAAATATTCGAACAGATATTTCTTCCTCCATTGCTTCATTACACATAAAATTTGGGTGCGATGTTTACGTTGATGCTATCCAACAATAGAAAATCAAAGTGCAAAATGTGATTTCACTTCTGTCATTCCTTCTGAACTACATTAAGCATAATTTTGAAAATAAGATGATAATTTTTCACCACGTGAAACTTAGAATCTTTAGAAATATTGCAAAATACCTTGCTGGCCTAACAAAATTATGCCATTTTTATTTCAGCCTGTTTCCAACTATGCCAAGACATAATTATCATCTAGTAAGACCTTATGTGAAAGCCCTGTGTGAAAAGTATAACCTCCCTTATCGAGTCAAGCCAATTGGGATAGCCTTTGGAGATGTTTTCAGGTAAGTTTTCTTTGACATGGTATACTTTTGTGTTATTACCAACCATCTATACTCCAATAACCTGAATATATTTACCGGTAATTAAGGGAGAAATGTCTTCAGTTTGTTTCACCTAGCTACATATTTATAGGTTTAGCGTAACTCAGCTTTTTCCAAGGGCTCGGAACAACAAAATGATTATGTTTGTTAGAGTATCTGCACGCTGTAAAACTGAGAATTTTTCGATTTCAAAACTTAAATGAGAAATATCATAGCTACATTGTTAGTAGTGACTAACCCGAACAGGGCATATTGTTAAATGACAAACTCATCAGGATTCAAGATTAACTTATAAATCAGCTGACTATTCAACATAGTGTTCAGTAAGCTAACTACCGAAAATAATATTATTCGAAATGCAATAAGAATAGTTTGCATAATGTAACATGTTTGCAGAATAACCAAATAAATTTTTCAACTGATTATATTGTTTTCATTTTAATTTGGAAATAATTTAAAAGTTACATAGAAGATTCTTCAACCATTTAAAATTTCTTTCTGTAGATAATAGCTCTTTTCATTTTTTTTTACTTAAGAATAAGTGTAAAAAGAATTACAGTACAAACGTTTGTGATAGGTTGAATTAATTTGATTCATCTGAGGATTTCACCAAACTTTAAATTCAATTATCAATAAGGCTTATCATGTAAACTGATATCAGTTATGTTACAAATTGGCACGAAGACATTATCAACATCCTTTGAGTACAGTCTAGTTCTAGATAAATATCAGTTATAGACTAGACTCTGACACAAAAAAACGTTCAGTCTTGTTGAGTACATGAATCGATATCAAACAGACAAGTAATTTTAGTCACTGTAAAAAATTTCCCAGTTCCTAAGAGAGTTTCTTGATTGCTCTTCAAGATGACACTAAATTTTGTGCCTTGGAACTCATTTGGTTGTGTTGATATTTATGCATATTAGAGCATCCTCTTACCAAAGTGTTTTGTAGTAAAATATATGAAAGCTATCCAAAGCGACCAGTGAATCATGTGTAATTAAAATGCCTACAAGTTTAACCTTGGGTAGTTATAATGGTTTGTATATATTCGTAACATAAGTGTTACGGATAACTTTGAAAGCCCTTAAAAATAGAATATGTTTAGATCTTTGTATGGGTTTTTTGAACACAAACCTAAAATAATGGTATTATTCATGCTAAAAAAAGGCGTGGCAAGTACAGTAAAATGTTCTGATAAATTTTATCTTGATTGTCTGTCCTTTTAAAATTATAGTGCAAAATTTCATAAAGTTTTATGTAGACTGTTTTAAAATAACCATCAGGTTGGTATTAAAAACATTAAGATAAATAAATATGCAGATGAACACTTAAGCATAATAAGTGTTGTAAATTATTTTTAAGTCATTTTAAAAATTACCTCACCATTTCCACTTGCATGATTTATATCCCGAATTTCACATTCACATAGTTTCATTACAAACTAAGTTCCTACTTATTAGTTACCGTATCAGAGATACACCGCTTTTGTTTGTGCTTTCATTGTTTAAGCATACATAAACTTATATAGCTACCGGTGTGTCGGGACTCTACATTTATTCGTTCGTTGAAATCTTAAAAATATTTCTTAATTAGATTGAGATATCACTCATTGACTGACAGAATGTTCTTTACACTCCCTTTTATTGAATATTTATAAAGAGAAAAAGTAAAATTTGTCTTGTTTATATGCATAGAGGTGTACATGCAACTTACACTACAAATGACTAAAGTTGATAATTAGTTAAACTATTGAAAGAAATCATTCTCGAACTTTTAATCCAATCATAAAAATCCATTATTATTATTATTATTATTATTATTATTATTATTATTATTATTATTAACAGTTGTCTTGGCAATAAAATTAATAAACACTCATAACTTTCATTTATCTTTTAACTTTTATGAATAAAAATGACTGTGAAAATTTGTTTTGTTTACTCAAATTGATTGAAAAAAAATTCCACATCTAAATATCTGATACTCTATTGGAATAAAATAACGTAGAGTGAATTGTTGTTACTAGTGAACTAATTATTTTATCTTCTTTTTTAGAATCTTGAAATCAAGTGCCGAGTTATGGAAAAAAGCTAAATCTGAGAAAGAAAAATGCGCAAAAAAGCTTCTGGATGAATAATAAATGAATATGATTATTATCATGCAGTGTCTTTAACACATTCCATATTATGTTGTTTCTATTTAAACTGAGTTTTATAAGAAAAATGTTCTATTTTGATTGTTACATAGTTTTTTCTACATAAATAAACATCGACATAATCTTCTTTTGGTAATAATATAAGTTTACTTTTTAATATTAATACATCTAAGTATTACTCTTTTATCAATTGAATGTGTTCTTATTAGTTACAGAATAACTGATTACTAGAAATCGTACAGTGATAACACTATGTGGAATTTTTCATTACAGAAAATAAATTTGAACAGGTCACATAAGTTTAATCTATGATTTTGCTTATCGTAATTTCCAATGTTCATTTTTTGTTTAATTAAAAAAAAACAGTACTTATTTACTTATATTTAGCTCATTAATTATTATCTGTTCAGTTGTGAAAAACTAAACGTGTATCGTATATGATGCATTTGAAGACTGACATCATTTTATCATGGTTACTTTGCTTATAAAGTCGTGTCTCAAATTAAAATATCTGAAACATTCATTTTTTTTAAGTATTACACAAAAATTCCTTGTTAGGACAATCATAGGTGAATTAAATGTAAGTAGCATGAACAAGAAATTACACTTGCTGATAATTTAATTGATTTGTAAAAACAATGAAAGACTATACCAGCTTCTAAATTTGTTTCAAATTCTCCTATAACTAAGGAAAAGCAGATAATGACCTTAATCAAAATTATCTGAAATAACACTATAACGATACACTAATGGAAATAACAGGCATGAGAAATTCAGAAGATTATTGCTTGAGAAAAAACAGAAAATGAATGAATCTGCGATATTGAAAACGATTTTAAACCATGTAATTTAAAATCTCTAACCACCGGTTACGATTATCTAGAGGAACCCAACCAGGTAGTCTATGTCTAGCAACATGGCTCAGTCCAGTTGAAAGTGACTTCATTGATTTGTTCCATGATTCAGTTTGTCAGCCCCTGCCTTTCTTCCAGCCTACCTCTGGATAAAAAAACATCGCTAATCAAGGCAGTCGGTGGTTAGGCATACATAACACATGTCGCAACCATCTGTCATCCTTACCTAGTACGCGTTTCCTAACAAGAGAATTGCTTACTCGGTTTTCCCAGTATATACGAGCAGTGTTCCAAAGACACCTGTTATCAAATACCAGTAACCTACGAATATGCTCAACTCTTACTTGTCAAGCTCAGCACCCATATAGTACGACGGAGTAAACTGATGCGCCGTACATTCGTCCTTTGGTTATCAAATGGACATCTTACCTACATCGTAAGTGACGCAAGTTGGCAAAAGCCAATCGAGCCTTCCATATCCGTGCTGAGATTTCGTCAGTAGCCGGACCATCAGCACTGATGAGACTTCCAAGATATGTGAACTGGTCGGCACTTTCAATTACTTCACTCCTCATCAATACTTCAGGAGCCTATACAATCCAATCTCAAGGCAACATTTTGCAAGCCAATCATGAAGCAATACTTTGCATTTTGAGAGGGAGAATCGCATCCTGAACATGCCTGTATTGTTACTTAGGGTGGTAAGAAGACTGCATTTTGTCAGCGTCTTTACCAAGTCAGTAAGCGAGTCTGCCTTTAGAAGGCCAACACCTGAAAAGTCAGACAATGAAAGTATCACTTCCAAGAGTATGTTAATGACGAAGCTGAATAAGAATGGAGAGTGGACAACCATAACGAACACCACTTACAGTAATCGTTTCCGATGACAATTCGCCATAAGCTCTCAATCAAACAGTGGTGTTCAAATAGAGAGCATGTATAAGGTTGTTGTCCTACTGCGGTACTCCTTCCAATAAAAAAACTGTAAGGTAAATGTAGATCTACATTAGTTAAATTGATTTTCACAACAGGACTATTATCCTTTCATATAGAAGGGTTTCTGTGAAACTCATCTTTTATGTCAGCCGAGCTGCAGTCAGTCGGAGTGTAGGTAGGGAATACAAAGTGGCGACAGTGAGTCTCCCTGTCTTTACGAGTCCTTACTGACCCATTTAGTCGGACAGCACATGAGTGACTGTCTACCGAGACCCAGTCTTCTTTACTAACATTAATACCTCTACTATCTTTATCACTATGGGATTTGATTTGACATTTGCGTCTCTGTGCTGTGGTATGGCAACATGAACTTATGTACATACGTACGAAGTTCTACGTTGCAACTGACTGACTGAGATAGTTCTCCCAAACGACTTAATACTATACCGATACCCATGGGAAGCAGCACGGCTTCCACATTGCCGAAGAGTAAACCGAGTTGATTCTCTATGTGGACAAGGTGAAATCAAATTAGTGATTTTACTAGGATCCTGTGTGCGCATTTCGGAGTTGCAACACACATCGATGGTGCGAGAATCCATTTCCCGGCTGACCATACCGTCGAAGGGTGTTTGGTGAGCGACCTGAAAAAGAAACTTAATTACCGTCTGTCTTATAGACCTGAGGGAGTGATTGCAGATATCGGTCACACACGGCCTTTTTATAATATGTTTTCAAAGATTCAGCTCCACTCTTCAAATGCCCTTACCACCGAAAATGGAAATCTGTGAGGTTAGGTGAAATGTGATATTTCTAGGGTCGACCTTTTCCCACTACTTCCTTCCTTGTGAGAAGGCAGCATCATTGCAGATGCTGGTTTTCCGAGAGAAACATAATACTGCTGTCACACCCCTCTACATTCAGCAGTACGACTTCGCCATCAGACCTTGAGCTGCTGCTTTTGGTTTCATCGTTCTCCAGTCGACCTGTTTGGCATGGTAGAACCTGAAGGAACACTTGTTCCACCCAGCATAGATCGGTCGTTTCATCACGACAGGCTAGCCCGACCACCACGTCAAGGTAACAGCTACCATCCAGAAACCGGTATCTGAAAACCACTTATGCTTTACTTTTGTATTTTACCTGAGCGTTTATAGTCTGTATTTATTTTGTAGGATTCTGCGGTAGTTTCGAAATAACATCGAAAGCGGTATTTTGTCAGTCTCAATCAATAAATCATTGGTTACAAATTTTCTCAGCACAGAAGCCCAAATGCGTTTTAAATAACATGCTTTTTTCCTTTCTAAACAAAATATGTTCTATTCAATCATTATCTGCATAAAAATAGTCGTCGAAATTGCTACATGCCAAAACTTTCTGATCATGTTTCTCTATGTGTGAATGAACGATAAATTCAAATATAAATAAGAAATTCCTGGTGGATATTCTTTAAATGAACTGTAGGAAACCGTTTATTAATGCATATCTAAAACGATTATCAAAAAAATTGACCAACAGCCACGTTTCTCAAAGAAACTGAGAATGAAGGAAACTATGAAAGTAAACTTTTATATTTAATCAGATCACATCTAGCAAATCATTTTTATCAATCAAGCTAATAGTTTATAATGTTCAGTCTTAGATGAAAATTTAGAATAAGTTTTAGTCAGAAATATTACAGAATGTTCATATTTGGAATGTTTGCTAAAGCTTATTAAAGCGGTCATTTTATCGTGTGAATTAACAACCACGAAGCAGTTTAGTCAGCTAAAGAAATAACGTCTTTTTAAAAAATTGGGTATTCGAACGATAAGTTTAACAACTACACCAATCATGTATTATAGTTACTTTCGATGTTCTCGTACTCAACTTATTTGTTCCACCAATTCATACAAGCTTTCAATGCAATATAAATGTAACTTTTTCAAGAATAATCATTCGCAAACGGGATTAATATCTTATTCCTGATTAAATTTGGATTCATAATCACTTTTAGCATTAAGGCAGAAATTATCTTCATGAAAAATTCATTATGTTTGTTGATTGAACATCATGCAGACAAATATCCTTTTAATTTAAGAAACCATTTGAACTGTACTTACACTTACGAAATCGATTTGAAAAATGTGATATTCCTGAGTTATACATTTTGAACAATTTGGTCACACATACTTGTTTATATGAAAATTAATGGAGGTTAATTAAATAAAAGTTCAAATAAACATAAGCTGATAATTCAGTTTCAGTAATAAAAATAGTAGGTCGTTCGACCTATGTTTATGTTCGTATAAATTTGGTGTTAGGATGGAGTACGTACCCACGCTAACAAATTGGAGTGCAAACTTAACACAATGCCTTGGCTTTCCGTACGAAATAAATAAAGGAGAGAGACAATTAACATGACATGCAAAGAATAGGAAACTGATGCATTACCCTAGGCCATAAAGGGTGGGTTTAATAATCCCCCTTATGTATACAAAAACAATCAGTCGTAACCTTGAATCTACCCTGATCATCTCTAAGCCATTTTATGACCTAGGGGAAAATAATTTTATGTTCTGTCCTTACGATGTGAATATTCTCGCTCGTTTATTTAAAATTATCACCTTGTGTTCAGTTGATTTGAATTAATTTTTACATAAAATGCCTTGACAAGTATGTATGACCAGATTGTTTGAAATGTATAAAGCAAATACACCACATTTTCCAGAACAACTCCGTCATCTCATTGTTCTATCAAAATTATTAAAGTGACTCATCACTCTAATAATAGTTATCAGAAAATACAAATTATTAGGCATGTCCACTTCATCTACTCCATACTACAGTTTAGACGTTTCATGTTAACCATTTTACAGACGACAACATTTAACTGCTAAGATTCCTTACTACATGCAATCTGAAAATTTAATGTGAGTAGAGTTGTTCTAGTTGTATTTTTTAACACTTATGACTAAAATAGTTATCTTTATTTCTAACTGTAGTTGTCGACGCAGATTATAAAATACCCCTTATGAAAACACTACGATACACATTGTTGAACCAGTAAACGTAAATTCTTTTGTTTACTAAACAATTTATTAAACATGTAAAAAAAAATATTTTTCAATTACTACTTCTGAGCTTTTCGTAGCTTCCTTAATTTTATTCATTCACATAACGACATTTTTACTCGGAAGATTAGCCTGAAAGAACGCTTTATGACTCAATTCAGTCAAATCCTGTGGGTTCAGATGCTTTCAAAACGATGTGTACACCTAATGCAACAAGTTATATGCAGCTGTGCTTTAAATTAGTAGAGGCCTGACGGGTTTAAAACCCGATTTCGTTAACTTCCACATCCATGAGCTATTGTGACAAGCGAAGGAACTTCATTCATGGTTATAATGTAGGTTACAACGAATTGTAGTCCTGATTACATCAACCTCCTTAGAATATATAGATGCTGGACAACTGCATTTCAATGAATCTCTAAACACTTAACTTCTTCTTTGTGGACGATTGAGAATTCTCTTGGTGGCTATGAAACCAACTCTACAGAATACAGACTTCACCTACGGTTTCTGATTCTGTTAGAACTGGGAATCACAGATGGCAAAATGTTGCTCACTCAAATTCTCGGAAACCTTCCAGCGACGCAAACGCTACTAGAAACAGCATGCTTATAAGTAAAACACTTCTGACTGTGAGCACGCCCGAACTTGGATCTGCAGTAGCAATAGTGTGCTACTCGAGATCATTGTTATCAAAATATTTGTTATTTCCTAATGCAGTGGTCTTTACATAAAGTTCGAACCCATTAAAACTAATATCACTTTTGAGAACAATTAATAATAATAATGAGGATTGTAAGGGGAAAGGTACGGGAAAATTTTTGTCAAAGAATGGGTGGGTGATTATACTAAATTTAAACCACCGTGGGTTTATTGTTATTTCATTGGACTAGTCATAAGTTTTTTGAGCTCGCATTTAAAGCCATAAACTATAAAATTAAGCGGCTGTTAATCGCAAACGTTGCTTTTTGATGAAATCAAAAAATATTCATAAACGCTTAGAGGCATCAAATCGAGATCATTGGATTGAAAGTGACTAGAGTGCCTTAAAAGTCATTACTTCGATCTCTGTGGTTTAGAGTGAGCTTACAATAAATCCCAAAACCAATTGAAACAAACGCTTAACTCTCTATTTTCATTGACACTATGTACAAACCTTAAAACAAAAATCCGATGATCAGAGTAACAACACATCTGATTTACCAGTACTTATGAAGCAAAGAAAAAAGCATTACTGACGGAATTTTTACATATACTTCACACAGTCCTCAAACTACCTCTAATTTTTAATTCGCAAACGTAACACAAACTTCAATATTAGGAGTCCGGAGAAGTACAACGTTATTGTTTACACAGTATTATAATCCTTATTACTATATTATAATGACCATTCATTGTTTAGATTTCCTCACGATTTAACCTTTAAAACTTCAGACACTATATAAGAAGCCAGAATGATTAAAGGTCAAGGACAATCAGACAGTGAAAAGTTACTATAAGATTTCTCTAGTAGGCAAACGAAGGTCATTGTGAGAGATGGTATGATAAGATGATAAGAATGAGTATATTACTATATGATGAGCCAAGAAGGCGATAATAATCTATGAACCAAAAAGATAAAAAAAGGTCATATATTGTAAAGAAAACAAGTTAAAGTAGAAACTAGGGCCACGATGATGAGTGTAATCAAACTGTTTCTACACCTAGATATCTAGTTTTACATTCAAGATAAATGCCAGTAAACATCTGTCAACAAATTAAGCTATTTTCATAAAGATCCTCCAGAAATACATCCCATTCAGCTTATACCAACGTAAATACAATCAACAGCTACTTTGAGTGGGACAGTCGCAGAAAATCAGAACCAATATGAAGGAACTGGTCTTACAAGATGCAAATGAATTTTGTAAACAGTACTTAGAAGCTTGATTTATCGATAGGTGGAAAGTTCAGTGATCCAGTTTGTGACAGAATGATACCGGAAAACTGTCATGTCCTACATTCTTTCGATATTTTGATGTGACTGTTCTTAATTCATTTCACGATCTGAGTACAACCAATCGATAATTCCAGTTTTGCTCTTGTTCTCTCCAAGTCATGAAACTATCTGAAAATATTTTCTACAGCTTAACATAACCTTGCTGAGTAAATGTGACCAATCAGGTAACCAAGCTTCATGATTTCTGTCTGCTTCTATTAAATGATTAGTCTGTTATCAAGCATAAAACTTAAAAAGCTGTGAGGTTGGATTTTCCGCACTCATGGGTGGTTGTATACAAAGTGAATATCGGTCTACTGACTTTTACAAAATCGTATAAGACATCAACAACGATTAAACAGGAAGATGTTCGAGTTCGCATGTATAGGTAACTGAAAGAGAAGTATCTAGACATACTGAAAGTGAAATGCTGTATATATTCAGGATGAACTATTAGTGCAAACTGCACCAAATAACGAGATTCTACACTATCTAGGTAAATGAGCACACCTGAGGAAAATACATGAAAGCGCAATAACGCTTTGTTTAGGAAATCTTATTCTCATCAGCAACCACGTGTAAACCTGGGCATTCATTTAGTGGTTTATAAGTTGGGATGCGACGCTTACATGAACTATAAACGAAACTCTTCAATCCTGTAGTTTGAAAACCTCTATCGAACTCCGGATTTTTATGAGATTTTAAATTAATAAAATCATTCACTACGACAGGTAGTCCAGGTTAGTTAAAAGTAGTCAATCTGGTAACAAAGAAAAAATCCACTAGAATACGCTTGATTTATCTTGGTTGACTTACGGACACCCCGTGTATATTGGCTTCATCATATTATTGACACAAGTTGATATAGAATAAATGAAGTGTGGCAATCAGTGGAATGCATGGCGTGCATTTCGTTTCATTTCCGACACGTCAGCCGGACATACAAAACGTGCAGCCTGGATTCCACTAATAGCAGCATTCCATCTATTCCATATCAGCTAGTATCATAATAGCTATATCGAAGAATTTCGTAGAAGATTCCTATGTCCCAATTAAGAGTTATCATATTCCAGTAAACAAAGTCAAGAAAAGGATCATTCAAACCATTTCGAATTAAACTAAATCTCAGACTCGTTGCAAACACAAGTGAGTGGTCGTTCGGACTCAGCTGCTAAGTAGAAGACGCGATGATGTTTGAAGTGAACCATGCTGGTTTGGAGCCCCGAAGTCCACAAAGTAAAACGTCATCAACACGGAGGAATAGTAAAATAAGCCAAGAATCAGTGATTCTAGAAAGAATAAGATAGTCTCAGGACTCATGATAAAATGAAAGACAGAAGTGTATGAATCTGCTCCATCGAGATCAGTTCTGACACATATCACATAACGCGTGTAATTATTATTGACGATAATAACTCAAAAGTAAACCAATAATTTTATGCCTATCAACATAGCTCATCTACAACTTCATGGTCAGGCGTGAAATTTTCTACTGGTTATTTCCAATTCATTTTCATACTAGCCAACATTGCACGTTAAGATGCAGTGGTCAAATATACGTAACACATGTATATCCCAGCCATTTCAGTAGGATCAAGAATCATAAACTCACCAACTGATCTACCATCGTTAAATAGTATTCTGCGTTTAACGTCAGAATTGATCATTCAATTGTTCCACTATACGCGACCTACGTTTTGAAGACAACGATGATCGAATACCGGGAACCTACAAATCCTTTATTTCCGTCAAACTACAGCTCTTGTTTCGACACCTGATGACATTTCATCAAAAATCAACCAAACATCGTTGATGAGATAGAACGATCTATACACTCAACTTCTTGACTCCTAAACATTCACTTTTCAGATTTCTGGTGGTTACCAATCAAGCGAATGGCAGATTCAAGGTACATGAACTGTTGATGAGTGACCTATTCGTCTTTCACTGTAACAGTTTAGCTAACATTAGTTTTCTTGAAAAAAACTAGACAGCTACCTATTGTTATATATCATTATCGTGTCGATCGCATATGAGTTGTTGCCAGGTGTAGCTTAGATCTATGTCCTTATTGCGTTTAGAGACAATCGGGGTGAATCTTCAAGAATTTGGTTTAACAAAGACTACCGTACTATATAGGCCTTTTCTTACTGTTTGCTAACCTCCGCGAAAAAAACTGAAAACCATAAGATCAATGATCACTGTTATCAGTTAGTCTGAACAGAATTTTACACCTAATATCCATGTTACTCGACATCTTTTTAGCCTTATTAATTGGGCACTAAAGTCACTTGCTAATATAATTTGAAAAGGCAGGAAAAATAATACCCTGTCGAACCATATTAAAATTATTAGTTTATTTAATAACAATGTATTTATTGGTGGCATCGATTGAGGAGTAAAAACAATAAGAAGAATAAAATTACAATGGTATTCCTGAATGCTCTGTCAATAAAATGAAACAGGGATCTGTGAGTAGAGAAATCAGCTATTTAGTTTAGGTAAGGGGCACATTACGAATCCATTATACTTCTTTTGTAGAAATAGGAATCACTTCGGTGCGCAAAGTTCACCATAGATTATATGTTAATATAACCTTCATTATGCCAATGATGGATCGACTGTGATCGACAAATTACGACACACATGCTATACAAACCGATAAACTAATGAGAAGAACACAGTATAAACAAAATTAAATACCGATAGATATTTTACAAAACTGAAGTTTTAACCATTAATTATTGAATACTAATATGCAAGACTTATTATGTAAGTAAATTAAACTTTTTTCTACAACCACTCCATAATGAAGATTGCAGAGTGATCACACTGAAGTTCTAACGTTCATTTTCTGAAGGGTAGCACTTCATAGGGATAAAAACATAGTTGGGCATGTCTACTGCTTCAATAACCTCAGGGAGTCTCATAAGTGCTGATGGCCTGGTGTGTGACGAAATCTCAGCTCGGATACAGAAGGCTCGATTGGCTTTTGCCAACCTTCGTCATTTATGGCGTAGGCGAGATATCCGTTTACTAACCAAAGGACGAGTGTACTGTGCAGCAGATCAATCGATGAAGTAGTGAAACTCCATCAGTTGAGATGGTCAGGACATGTATTACGTATGCCTAAACACCGACTGCCTCGATGAGCTATGTTTTGTGGTGTAGGAGTAGGTCGGGAGGAAGCTAGGGGCGGTCAAACCAAAACATGGCACAAATCCATGAAGTCACTGACAAGTGGACTGAGTCATGTTGGTAGATGCAGACTACCTGGATGGGGTCCTCGAGACGATACCAACCGATGGTTAGAGACCTTGAACCAACATGGCCCAAAATCGTTTGCAGTGGATCGGGTGCATCCACTCTTTGTGCTCTCTCAAATTCTCTTCTTCTGAATTCCTCACCACCTCTATCGTTCTCTTTCTAAAGTTATCTCACTGAATTATTATTATCTTCAAATCCTAATCTTCTCCATTAGAAGTAATCCTTTTACTATCCCTACCACTACGGGATTTGAATTGACAATTGCGTCTCTGTGCTAATGTGGTATGGCAACATGAACTGATGTACTTACGCGCGAAGTTGTACGCTGTAACTAACTGACTGACCACAGCCATTCGTACTTTCATTCAGTTGAAATTTGTGTCGTATTAGCCGTAATCAAAAAGATTAATGATCGATTAAAAAAGGGAACAACCGTCAAGCGGAATTCAGATTAGGACTTGATAGAAACCAAAGGAATACATGCACCTGTACCATTGCAAACGATTTTGGGCCATGTTGGTTCAAGGTCTCTAACCATCGGTTGGTATCGTCTCGAGGACCCCATCCAGGTAGTCTGCATCTACCAACATGACTCAGTCCACTTGTCAGTGACTTCATGGATTTGTGCCATGTTTTGGTTTGACCGCCCCTAGCTTCCTCCCGACCTACTCCTACTCCACAAAACATAGCTCATCGAGGCAGTCGGTGTTTAGGCATACGTAATACATGTTCTGACCATCTCAACTGATGAAGATTCAACACTTCAACTATCGATGCGCCATCCCTACCTAGTACTCGTTTCGTAACAATTGCATCGCTTACTTGGTGGTCCCATGATACACGAGCAATGCTTCGGAGAAACCTACGATCGAAAACCAGTACCCTACGAATATCCACTACTTTTACTGGCCATGTTTCTCATCCATATAGTAGGACAGAGCGAACTGCTGCGCAGTACACTCGTCCTTTGGTTAGTAAACGGATATCTCGCCTACAACGTCGCCCTCAGACCTTGAGTTGCCGCCTTTAGTTTCATTGTTCCCCAGTCGACCTGCCTGGCACGGTAGAACCTGAAGGAACACTTGTTCCAGCCAGCATAGCTCGGTTTGGTCATCACGGTAGGCTAGCCCGACTGCAACCTCGAGGTATTATCTACGGTCGAGATAAGATGATTTAAAATAACTGACATACTAAGCAATATTTTTTATGCTGCTGTAAGACACTGACGATAATAATCAAGTCTAAATAAACCTTAAAGAAGTTCAGAAAGTGAACTAACCTGTAACAAGAAAAAGGTACATGAAGATCCAATGATATAGCCCAAATACCTTTGAACTTCAAGTTCTAAGACATCGAGGCAGCCATATTGATGATAACTGCACTCTTTATCCTCAGACGAGTTTGTTAACTGAAGATTTTTACAACAACTTTGCGGATAACTACTGTTCGTGTTAAGCTTAATAGATTCCCAATCTGACTTATTCTCCACGCCGCAACACTCGAACTAAAATATAGGATGAATCTCTAAAGCCTTGACTTACTTTTGACTGAATAAGATCGACAATTTGTTGAACTTCAGCAACTTTACTATACAAGTTCAGATCTTCATGAAGTGCATCACTTATTTGTTTTCTCACCTAGAAATGATATATGACTACAAAAATAGGCGTTACTTTTGGCCAGTAAAATATAGAAACGATAATGGCAGCCAGTTCACATAGTAAGATGGTGAGCATTAATGAATACAAGAATACAAGTAAGCAGCGACTGCGTTTTATGCAAGCTATGGCGCCAATTATTCCAACACACAGGAGTAGTAAACTTGTGCTAAGTACTATATAACCAGGAAATTTCAGGTTTGTTACAGTCACAACGTGTTTGTAACGCACAGCAATTACAAGTATGCTCCCCCCAATAGCAGCAAGTATTACAGAAGCAAACTAAAGTATAAAAAAATAAAGCTAATTCACAGAAACTTACCAACATCAGTACATAAGACACCGACACAATGTACCTAGATAAAGTTCCAAGAATCGCCATTGCAATAAGCTAAAGAGTTTTCTAATACAGACGTCCAGACAGATGTAAACTCCTAGACAATAATCAGAGATGATAATCGGTTACTAAGATGCATCTCTGGTTCGGACTTACATGAATTAGCGCAAAGAAATGACAACTGACGTGTTTACTTTGGTAGAAGCTAGCGCTACAATTAAAGGATAAACGAAAGTGAACCCTGCCTTGGATATTTATGCTGTAGTAAAATCAGTGGCACTTGACACAATAATATCAAAAACTGTTCAAACCCAGTGAATATCGACAATAGTATTCGGATCCATTCATATGTGGAGATTCGTTCCGGAGAAGCAAAATAAGGATTAGCGAAAACATGAAATTAGAACCGGTTACGACGTTGCGAAACGATCGAGAGCAGTGGAGAATAACATAAGCGAGACGAGGATTAGGAATTGAAGACGAGCAGAAGTACTGTTGTTTTCAACTTAAGATACTTTTAGGCGTGAAAATTTGGAGTAGTTATATATTATCGCAGATGTAGTGGTAATAGGTGTAATCTAAAATGTGGACTAATCACAAAAATTCCCTGTTTATAACAAACTTATAAACTTCATAACCAATCCATCTAAGACTGAATCAAAACATATCACTGTTAAAATATATTATAATCCGAATCTTTACGACTTTCGCGAACGAAGAGAGCACATGGTTTAAGTTTTTGCAACCTAATCTGGCAGGTTTTGTACATCATCGTTCCCTGAGAGAACGTCTTTAATGCGATCGAGTACGCACATATTAATGACACTAAATTGGTAATGCAGCTAAATGATACGCCCATTGCTTGGAGAGATGTATCTTTGTAACATCGTGAAACATGCTTATGGGTTGAGATCTCTTTCAGGCCATCCAGTAGGATCCTGTTAGGCACTGAGTATTTGATTAGTAAATAGCTCGAAACTTAGGTAAGTCAAAATAAAGTACTCTAGGGTTATTGTCGATTCCAAGTCCGGAAAACGGAGCGTTGGGCATTGGATTAACAGCCTACAGAAAACAATCTTTCTAAAAAACGCCGATTAGAGAGAAATCATCTAAACTATATAAGCTCAGCACTGAATGTTGTAACACCTCCGAAAAGAATAGTTGTGATAGCTTATGGCGAAAGCCAAAATTTTTCAGGAGTTGCGAAGCCAATATTCTTAACAACTAGAGTAACAACTGATACAATAATTTCAACGTCCAGAAGACGTGGAAAACCGGAAGGGTTATCCAGATAGAAACGGACATGAGGAGATAAGGCCTGAATCCACTTGAAATAAGTGAAACCCACTGAACATAAGCTGAACTCAAAAGACTAGTTTCTGTTGTGTTCTGATCAGAAAGGAAATGCCTCGCACACACAAGGACTTGCGTTGACGCCTTTTGAAGAGATACGGAAAGCACATATAGGATGGAAATCTGATGGATCTAAGATTACCAAAGCATCCCTCAAAACAAACAAAGAGGAAATTACGGTAATAGTCATGCAGTTCTATGTTCTTACAAATGATAGCATAGAAAATAATAATGACCGGTATTATAGGTGACTGCTGTTTACACTAAAGAAATCAGTTAGTCAATCAGTTAGTTACAGCGTACAACTTCGCGCGTAAGTACATCAGTTCATGTTGCCATACCACATTAGCACAGAGACGCAATTGTCAATTCAAATCCCGTAGTGGTAGGGATAGTAAAAGGATTACTGCTAATGGAGAAGATTAGGATTTGAAGATAATAATAATTCAGTGAGATAACTTTAGAAAGAGAACGATAGAGGTGGTGAGGAATTCAGAAGAAGAGAATTTGAGAGAGCACAAAGAGTGGATGCACCCGATCCACTGCAAACGATTTTGGACCATGTTGGTTCAAGGTCTCTAACCATCGGTTGGTATCGTCTCGAGGACCCCATCCAGGTAGTCTGCATCTACCAACATGACTCAGTCCACTTGTCAGTGACTTCATGGATTTGTGCCATGTTTTGGTTTGACCGCCCCTAGCTTCCTCCCGACCTACTCCTACACCACAAAACATAGCTCATCGAGGCATTCGGTGGTTAGGCATACGTAATACATGTCCTGACCATCTCAACTGATGGAGTTTCACTACTTCATCTATTGATTTGCCGTCCCTACCTCGAACTCGTTTCCTAACGACAGCATTGCTCATACGGCTGTCCCATGATACACGAGCAATGCTTCGGAGACATCGATGGTCGAAGACTAGTAACCTACGGAAGTCCTCTACTCTTAACGACCACGTCTCGCATCCGTTCAGTAGGACGGAGCGAACTGCTGCACAGTACACTCGTCCTTTAGACAGCAAACGGATATCTCGCCTGCGCCATAGGTGACGCAGGTTGGCAAAAGCCAATCGAGCCTTCTGTATCCGAGCTGAGATTTCGTCACACACCAGGCCATCAGCACTGATGAGACTCCCGAGATAAATGAATTGGTCAGCACGCTCAACTACTTCGCTCCCTATTACTAGTTCAGGTGCTGTTGCAAACCAATCTTGAAGTAACATCCTGCATTTCGAGGGGCAGTACCGCATCCCGAACATGCTTGCATTGTTGCTTAGGGCAGTGAGAAGACTCTGCATTTTGTCAGCATCTTCACCGAATAGAAATATGTCATCAACATACTCTAAGTCAGCAAGTGTCTCTCCTGGTAGAAGGCCTACCCTTGGAAAATCTGACGAGGATAATGTTAACTCTAAAAGCATGCAAAAATGGGGAATGTGGACAGCCCTGACAGACGCCAGTTGAAGTAGAGAATTCCGATGACAGTTCGCCATAGGCTCTCACTCGACTCTTCTAATCCTAACCTCTCCGATTACTTCTAATACCTTTACTACCTCTTCTACTATTGGATTTGAATTGACAATTACATCTCTGTGCTGACGTGGTATGGCGACATGAACTGATGTACTTATGTACGAAGTTCTACGTTGCATCTGACTGACTTACTCACTCGCTCACTCGACCAGTGGTGTTCGAGTAGAGAGCTTGTAAGGTTAATGTACTTCTTTGGTACACCTTTCAATGACAGGCACTACCACAGAACCTCACGGTCCACAGAGTCAAATGCCGTCTTGAGGTCCAGGAAGACAACTATTGTCGGACGCCTAAATATCTGTGTTCCAGGACCTGTCGTAGAGTCCAAATGTGGTCTATACTGCAAGTCCAGGTTGAAAATTAGCATGGTTTTCCCTAATATACTCTTCACGAGCTCTAGTTAGGCGTCTAAGTATCACCAAGGTATCTCTGTAGACAATCTAAGAAAGATTCAAAATGAGGAAAATAAGTACAGCAGTCACTAAAAGCTGAACAAAAGCAGAGTAAGTCAAGGTACAGGCCTAACATACAGAAAAAACAAACGAATTAAAAAGATTATTAGAGCTGGGAAGCAAAAATATGTAGAAAACCAGCCAACTATAGAAGGATAAAATGTAAGAACAGAAAATATGGAAGGACTATATGAAAACCAACTTGAGGAATATAGTAAGCCAGAGTGACCAGTCAGTGACAAAGAAGACAGACCAACCACCTAGGTTCAAGGGTGAGACAGGCATGTTGAGCATTTCGGGGAACTACTAAACGAACCAACTCCTCTGAACGCATTGGATATCGAAGCGGCGCTTTCACCATGGATGATATCCAACTAACAATAACAATTAGGGAAGCCATCATATAGACCAAAAACAGAACCGGACAGAATACCAGTTGAAGAACTGGAGTCAAAAATAAGTGTAACGGCACGAATGTTCCACCTCTGTGAAAAGATTTAGGGGAGAGAACATACTGGAGAACAGACCGGTAAGAGAGATACCGAAGAAAGGACGTCCCAGTAAGTGTGCAAACCACAGAAGGACCAAAGTTCTATCAGTACAAAGGTTTGCAAGTGCTGTTGAACAAAATAAGTATTAATAAACGCCCAACTTTGAGGTTAACAAGCTAGCTTTTGAAATGATAGATCATGTATCAACCAAAGAGCAACACCGCCGGTGACCGTTAAGGTCAAATGAATAAAACTCAACGCCCTTAATTAAAGGACGAATTCGACATGTGGAACAGGGAAACTGTGTGGAGTTTTCTGTGACACTGGAGTACTTACGAAATTTGTCACCATCATAAGGAACATTAACGGGGGATATAATTGAAATGTCATTCATGGAAGGCAGCTCAAAGATGCTTTCGCATCGAAGACTGGTATGAGATAAGGCTATTTAGTTTCACCTTTTTATCTTAACACGAGCTGTTGACTGGATTATGAAGACCTGCACATCTCAAGGGGTGAATGAAATACATTCAATACATACGTATGATCTTAGCTTTGAAAATGACTTGGCCCTTCAACCTGAAACAGCAACAAATTAAAACGAAGATATTCAGTGTAGTAGCGACTTCTTAATGAATAAGCCTCGAAAACAACAAGAGAGTAACGAAATTTTGAGGTACAACACAGAAAGCTTCAAAAAACCACATTTGGTGGACAAGCCCCGGGAAAGAAAGAGGCCTCAAGGTACCTGGCTAGCATCATTAATAGTGTCCAACGCAGATGTGACACGAATTGACGAAGCAAGGGCAACATTCATACAATCAGAGAACTGGGACTCAAAAAAACGACTACTCAACACCGACACCGCTTTGCCGTACGGGGCTGAAGCCTGCAGACCTACCACGACTACGAAAGAACGTCAAGATATTTGTGATCAACTAGCCACACAAGATACTCCAGATTCACTAGCCAGAGATGATCAAAAAAACCTACTCTGGAAGAAAACAAACCAACTGCTAGTTAAGGAATCACAAGAGGGAAGACAAGTATGACCCACAATAAAGAATAACCACAATTTTTGCCTACAACTAAAGTTAGTGCTTAAAATCCAAACAAGTCAGAAACTGAAGTCACTACACGAAAACATACGACACGTGGCTCTCACTAGATGTTTAAGTTTATAAGGGTAAGCCAAAAAGAAACTGAGTAACAAATGGATTTTGAGGGTAAAGTAATCCAGCAATACTTCGAATGGTTCTAAACATATACAGATGTAAGCGAATTCAAATCACCTTTACTTTTACAAACGTCTGGTAGCTAAATAATATCAAACTTTTTTAAGACATAAACTGGCAAAAATATGTAAGCATACGTACATGACCCTGGACTGGCAATAGCCACCTGAACACGACCTTGCAATACCTAATATCTTTTTACGAGCTAGTTTAAACCAACTGATTTCTTTGCACCCGATTCTTGTCCTATCAGTATGGTTAAAGGTATTCGAATCCAGAGGGAACTTTCACACCTCACAATTAAGCATAAATAAATTATCAATAAATCCGTTTCTGTCAGTATGCTTCTGTGAATTATGATAAGGTCACAACTTCCAGTTTCTCGTCTCGTAGCAGTAAATTAATCCCTAAAATTAATTGTTCTTTAAATCCCCGGTGTTACTTCTAACCTCAGTTGAATGAGTTTGATCACTTATCCACACCAGATTACGGTGGGGGCACACCGTAGAATGGATCTCCCCGTACCAACTAACAAGCTTAGGTTACCTACCCCTCACCAGTCCAACCATCATTCAAATATATCTCTGATCCTCCTCATTTCTGACTTCTGATATGTATTCGGGTTGCACACTATGGAGAGAAACCCTGTCCAGCTATGCAGATCCGTGATATCATTAGCTACCTTTTGTAGCAGTTCATTTCCAGCCAGAAGGCATTATGTGTATTGAGTGTGCGACTAGGACTGGAAACGAGAAGAACCGAAGAAGCGATGAGACAATGACCCAGAGAACGGATAAAATGCTAAAATATTACTGTGGTCCTCGAAGGTTCTAATAAAGGTCAGTAAATTCTCATCAACGAGGCGAGATCGAATAAAACACCACCATCAGGAAAACTTAACATCCCAGGTCTCGAAAACAGAACCTACTGCTGAGTCTTCTCTTAACATCGTCCAAAATGTCTACTAAAAGCTCGGGAATCTAAACCACAATCTAACTTCCAAACAAAAGGCATACCAGCCTCGATTTACCAGAAAATCCTGGAGAAATAAATAGGTTTTGTGACGATTTTTTGGTAATCATGAACCTTAGAACTCGTTCTTGTCTTCCATCCAGTTTACAGAACAATACAAATATTATGTTTTGAAAAGAATTAAACAGGAAGCTCATATAAAGCTTATTCGGTGTAAACTGATCAAAGATTCCCAAAGGAATCTCGTGAGGCGTTGTTTCTCAGGAAGAATACCAATGAGCAGGGTGTCTTGGAATTTCGGTGGAGAAAAAGTCAAAATCTATCACTCTAAAACTACAGCTCTACAAATTAAGACTTCCTGGTTGATAACTTCCCTATCCTGGCTCCCTAGGAAACGACGAATCCAAGTTAACAAAAATCCTACTCACGACAAGTGTTTGGGCATTAAACGCCCGCAATCTGCAGCTTTACAGGATAATCTAAAGTATGTGGACGGAAAGCCCTCCTTCAGCTTGTTCTGGATGCTCACTAGGATTTATAACTGGGGAGAAACTGAAATGCTACGAACTAGTCCGCAAAAATTACATTAACTGGCACTATTTGGATACTAAATCTAAAGGGGTAGTGGTGGGCAGTACCCACCTGTTTAGCTGTTCTTCAGTATCGGTGCTTGATTAACCTCCTATGTTCCTGACTGCTTATTCTGGTTTACGATATTTTCAGCCAGCTTCTTTGTTGTGTCATATTTGTTACTTACGTTTCTATCTCTTGCAGCTCTTTCGGCTATCAGTGCTAGGTGATCCGCATATTTCCGCTTATCAGATTTTATAATCCTCTTATCTTGCTTGTTTGCCTCTGTGTATTCTGCTTATATCGTTCC